TCGTGGTACCCGGTATCCAAGCGCCAGGCCTGACCCGCGGCTGCGCGGCCTCCACCCTCTGTGCGATCTTGGTTCTTTCCTTCCTGGTGGGGCTCACCGTGTCCTCTCTTCTTTCTTCTTTGTTGGGTGAGAGACTTTATCAGTTTTATTGCTCTTCCGAAAGAGCCGGTTTGGGGCACTCTTTATATCCCGTTTGGTATTTTATTTCCCGGTGGTTTCTCTGTCTTCTGCTTCATGGGGTCTGTTTTTGTCTTCGTCGCTCCGCTCACTTTCCTGGTGTCTTGAGGTGAGGCTCAGACGGTGTGAGCGCGTGGGGAGGTCTCCGCCTGCCGCCCCCGGGCCTCGAGCTGTAGCTCACTGAAGATCGGCACAAAATACTTCTGGATCCTTTGGGTTTTCTTCCCGGGCCCGTGTGCTGCTTCCTTTCCGGAGTGGCTGCTGATTCTGGCCGTCTGTCTGCCACTGATTTCTGTCTGTCTGTTTGTTTGATGTCAGTCGGCTCCCCCTCCAACGTGGGGCTTGAACTCATGACCCCGAGATCAGGAGTTACGTGCTCTGCCGACAAGCCGGCCAGGCGCCCCACTGTTGATTTCTAGCAGAGTCCATCGTAATCAGAAAACGTACTTTACACGACTTCAGTTCTTTTTTAAAAAAAAAAACAAATTTATTTATTTATTAGTGAGAGGCAGAGCGCGAGCACAAGCAGGGGAGCTGCAGGCAGAGGGACGCGGAGACGCCGACTCCCCGTGGAGCAGGGAGCCCGAGGCGGGACTCGATCCCAGGACCCTGGGACCATGACCTGCGCTGAAGGCAGACGCTTCACCGACGGAGCCACCTGGGCACCCCACGACATCAGTCCTTTTCAGAGTGCTGGTGCTCCTTTGTGCCAGGCTGTGGTTGGTCCCCGTGGACACTCGTTCCTGGAACCCACAGCTCTCGCCGTTTTCTCTCCTTCCCAGTTCGTTGCCTGCAGAGCCAGAGTGGCCTGATGGGCGGAGCGGGCTAGGCTTGCCCTGGGCACCCGCGTGTCAGGGGCTGTGGGCACAGTCCCATTTGTCCCCAGCCTGGAGCTGTCCTTCTGCGAAGGACAGAAGCCCTCGTGTCTGTCTCCTGGCTCCTCTGGGCTCCGCTGAGGGCACGTGCTGTCCCCGTCATCCTCCACCTGGCCCCAAGTGCTGCGTCATGGCAAGCTGGGCCCAGGATGGGAGTCGGTGGTTTGCACTGGTCTTGGTTTGTGAGGGGGCTGAGTGACGGCAAGACAGGTCAGTGCCGGTGAGAGGAGGGTTTACTGCTCACTGCCTCCTAGAGCAGGAGGCACCGGGGCTGGTCGGGGGCAGAGGGACCACAGGTGAGGCCCAGACCAGAGGCGTCACCCGGGTTTCCGTGGGCGAAACATCAGCTCCGGATCGCCTGGTTGGAGTCACTCCAGTGGACCTTGAGGCTCAGGGAGACAGGGGCAGCCCCTGGTTGTCCGCTTCCTGGGCCTAGGTGTGCGGGGCAGGGGGCTGTTAGGTTGGCATTGAGAGTTGGACGAGGAGGGGTTCAGAGTATGGGCCCTGGATCCAGGGGGTCTGTAAGCAGCTCTGGCCGTCCGTTGGCCATATAAGTACTGGACGTCAAGTAGAAATACAGAATCTAAGAAAACACAGAACAGTGGGATCTTCATTTCATGCCTGGGATGTCGGCGTGGTCTCCACAGGAAGCCCAGGATGGGGGTGGGTGTCTCTGCTCCGTGGGTGGCTGGCAGGAGCTCACAGAGCCCATGAAACCTTCCAGAGACACCCTGTTGAGCAGACCAAGGCCCTGTGTCCAGACCTGAGCTCCTGGCCTCGCCCTGTCGCTCCCTGCTGCCTGGATAGAGAATGGGGAGTTGAGGGGGCCGGGGTCTTCCTTTCGGTGCCCGTGTCCCCATGCCTTCTCTGAGGCAGACAGAGGAGCGTCGGGTCTCTGGGTCAGAAGAGGGGCCATGGCAGCATCTGCCCCCCTGTTCCAGGTGTAGACGCAGACCTTGCTGGCTGAATGCGGGTGGGCATGGGGGTGTGCAGCCCTAAGTAGGACCTGTGTGACTCCGGGGCTTGAAGCTGCGTGGGCGGGGTGGGGGTCTGCTGTCCCCGTGAGCAGCGGGCTGACATCAGATCGGGAAAGTGAGCGAGGCTTCCAGGAGCTGCGGGCGGGGCCCAGCCGCTTTGGCTGTGGCCCCTGCCCTGCGCAGACCCTAGGCTCCTCTTCCCCCGGCTCCTGGGCCCGTGGCTCTGCTGCCTTTGGGACCGTGAAGCCTCGGGTGGCTAAGCGGTCCTGCAAGCCAGTTTGCAAGGCAGGCACAGCCGCTGCTGTTCCCCAGCCAAGGACCAGGACCGAGGCCCAGGCTTCCCCTGGGCAGGGCCCTCATGCCCGCCTGCACCCAACGCTTAGAGTGGTGATGCCAGCACAAGGGTTCATGGACGCTCCCCGTGGGCTCAGGGACATGGGCACTGCGGGGTGGGCGTATGCAGAGGGGTGACCGGAGAGCTGCTGGAGTCTCCAGGGACCCTGCGCGGACCGGGGGGAGGGCAGGGCAGTTGGGGTCGGGGCTGCCATCCTGGCCTTCGTGTGGGGGTGGAGGGGGGCGGCGCCTGCAGAGGCCTGTGCTCCGGAAGCTGGGAGAGGGGCTCCATACCTGGCACCCGGTCCCCGCGGGCTCCCGGCCTGCCCACAGACCTGCCCGGAGCCGCCCCCACAGGCGGGAGACCCACCCGCCCCCCACAAGGACTCTTGAGGGGGCCACGTTGGAGGCCGGCGCTCCCTAGGATGGGGCCTTCCTGGGGCTCTGGGAGGCGTGGGAGGATGCAGCCCCGCTGAGCAGGCCTTTGCCCTTGGCAGGTTGTGTAGCCTGACCTTGAAGAAGCTGGTGGTGTTCAAGGAGCTGGAGAAGGAGCTCATCTCGGTGGTGATTGCCGTCAAGATGCAGGTGAGGGTGCCCGAGCTGCCTAGGGTGGGAAGGGCCCAGCACACCAACATCTGGACACTCACCTGGGCTGGGGGGCAGGGAGCTGCTGCTGCCCTGGGATGCAGGGGAGCCTCTGCCCCTGCTGCTTGATGGGGAGATGGTCCCAGTGCGCTGGCAAAACTAGACCCGCAGTCCCGGGCTCTGGAGCCCGGGTTCACAGCCGTGGGGTGCTGGGGACGCGGCCCGGGCCTCCCAGTGCGGGCTCACCGGGGGTCTCCGGGCCCTCGAGTCAGCTGAGCGCTCACGTGTGAGGCCTGTCTTCAGTTTCCCCATCAGTTGCCACCATCTTTTAAGACCTGAAGAAACCCTTTGCTTCCCTGACGAGGCTGCTGTAACTTACCGTCAGAGCCAGGCGTGCGAGGCTGCCCGTCGGTTCCACGGGGACCGGCCCCGCGGGGGACCCGCCTGCAGCCCCGGCTGTGCTCTGGGCCCCCTGGCGAGGAGGGCTCATGGTCTTGCCAGGGCTTCAGAGCGAGGTGGAGTTCACCCACCCCTGGTCTCTGAATCTGCCACCTTTGACCTCTGACACGACCGCCCCCCCATCCGGGAGCCCCGCCTTTCCTGCTTACCTGAGTGCCCCCTTCACTGGCCACCCTGTCCACGCCAGTGCCTGGCATCCCCCACAGACCCTCCACTGGGCCATCTTCCCTGAGACACGAGACATGCTCCTGTGTCCTCAGCAGCCCCCCGCCTCTTAGTTCCCGGAGGGCGTGGGCCGGCCTGCCTTTCCCAGGCCCGCACCCGCTTGCCTGTGGCCGCTGCCCTCCTTCACCCAGCGAGGCCGGTCAGCTCAGGTCCTCTGAGGGGTCTGGTGCAGAAGAGGCCTGGGAGGCCACAGCCAGACCCCTGCACAGGGTGCCATGTGGCCCAGAGGGCGTCCGCTGGGCAAGGGCGTCTGCTGGGCAAGGCACCTGTGGGGGGCCAGCCCCGCACCTGTGCCCGGGACCCCTGCCCGTCGCTCCTGTCTGCCCGCACGTCTGTGCTCTGCCCTAGACCCACAGCCCACTCCTGCCCTCAGCCACTTGTCTGCCCCCTCATCCCGTCGGCCGCCTTTGGAGCCCCAGCCCCCACACCCTGGTAGCCCTGGTCTTTGTTGCTCTGAATCTGATGGCTGTTGGTGCCCAGCAGGGAGGGGTCACATGGTGTCCATCCATGGCCTCCTGCCCCCGGCCTTCCGTCTCCGCTCCGTGGGTGTGGGGACAGCTGTTCTGGAAACTGTACTATGAGAAGATCTGTGATCCATTTGGGCTGTATTTTGGTATATGGTTTCAGGCGAGGATCAGGACGTTTTGTGCTAATGATTTGTTACTATTTAGTAATTTTTCTGGTGACGTGAAGGGTCGTTATTAAATAGCATGTTTGTTTTTCATCCATGGCTGTGTGTTCTCGGATGTGTTTCTAGACTTCTCGTCTCTGTCCCTGTGCCAGGGCAGCCGTGCTGTAATTAGAACCCTCTTCTACCACACTGTGCTCTCTGGGGAGGCTGTCACTCACCGGCCCACTGTCTCAGGAATGCAGAAGGGTCCTTGCAGGCATTATCCTGTGACCCCTGCACCCCAGCATTGTCCCGTGACCCCCCCACCAGACTCGAGCATTGTCCCGTGACCCCCGGGACCCCAGCATTGTCCCGTGACCCCCCCGGACTCCAGCATTGTCCTCTGACACCCCCCCGCACCCCGCTGCTGGATTTCCGGGAGTTACATTAAATGTGGCAGGGAGCAGCCTGGACCACCTAAGAGAGGACTTGGAGGGTCACAGGATGGGGACTTTTTTTTTTTAAGATTTTATTTGAGAGAGAGAAAGAGAGAGAGAGAGCATGAGGTGGGGGAGGGTCAGAGGGAGAAGCAGGCTCCCCGCGGAGCCAGGTGGCCCGATGCTGGGACTCGATCCCCGGACCCCAGGATCATGACCTGAGCGGAAGGCAGACGCTTAACCCACGGAGCCCCCCAGGCGCCCGGAAGGGGACGTTTTTAAGGCTCTTGACGAATCTCCCCAAGGGTGTGTTTGGGAATCCCGGAGCTTGTGCCTGCTGGTGCCTGACCTGTGGGTCTTCACTGTGGGCTGGATGGAGCGGTTTCCGGGATGCGAGGCCACCGTGCGAGCTGGTCCTGTTCTGTCCCAGGGCTCCAAGCGGATCCTGCGCTCCCATGAGATCGTGCTGCCCCCCAGTGGACAAGTGGAGACGGACCTGGCGCTGACCTTCTCCCTGCAGGTGGGCCTGGTGCGGGGGGCCCCCCCGCGGTGTCCTCCCTCCGTCGTGCTGGACGTGACAGATCATGTCTGCCCTCCCGCTCCCACGCTACTGAACGCGCGGAGGCCCAGACACACTCTCGGGCCGTTGTGGGGGCGGCCGGCTGGTTCATTGGGAGAGTGTGTGACTCTTGATCTCAGGGTGGTGAGTTCAAGCCCCATGTGGGGTGTAGAGATTATATAAATGAATGAATAAACAAACTTAAAAAAAAAAAAAGGGCATTTGGTCCCAGTGTTCAGAGATGGGGAGGAACACAGACCTCAGTTTTGGAAGTTTGCTGGTGCACAGGGGCTCGGTGCGGCCGGGACACACCGCTCCCCAGCGTGACACAGACCCTCCTCCCCCCGGACCCTCCAGAGCCTGGGTCTGTGGTGGGAGCAGGCCGGCCCCAGGTGCCCGCAGGCGTGTACCCTGCCTCTGTGCTCTCCGCACCGTGGTGGAAGGCGGGCGCCGTGTAGATCCGCAGACGTGCTTAGTGTCGACTCCCTGCAAACCCCTTCGAGTCTTGTCTCCTCGCAAGAGCGTAACACGTCTGTGGGGATCCCGCTGGCTCCCTCCTCCCGCCCGGGCGCCTCTCCGTGCCCGGTGTGGCTGTGCCTGGGACGGGAGCACGTGACCCCAGCTCTGCCCCCGCTGGAGCTTCTGGGGTCCGTGTGGAGGTTTCCTGCTGTGGGACTCGCTTTCCTGGCACATCAGTTACTGCAGTTACCGGTCTCGAAGCGCCGGGCCACGGCGCACGGCGTGCGGCTTCTGCAGGTGTTAAGGGATAGTTTGCGAGCCCTGCTTCGTGCCCGTGACCCTGCTCTTGCAGAAGGCTCTGGGGGCCCCCGACCAGTGCCCCTGCTGGGGCCACGTCTGCTGCTGTCCACACCGTCAGCAGGTGCACTGGCTGACCCTGCTCATGACCCAGAGGCCCTGGCCAGCTGCTCACGTCTGCCAGCGGTGGTTTTCCCGTGTCCCTGGTGGAGGCCCATGACAGCCCCAAGGCCTACTGGTGCTGGGCGAGCGTGGCCGCGGGGACGGATGGCAGCGGTGACCCCTTCTCTGCAGTACCCTCACTTCCTGAAGAGAGAAGGCAACAAACTCCAGGTCATGCTGCAGCGGAGGAAACGGTACAAGAACCGAACGATCCTGGGCTACAAGACGCTGGCGGCAGGCTCCATCAACATGGCCGAGGTGAGCGCGTCCCTGCCCAGCCAGAGGCCTCCGTCCGGCCTGACCCCACGGCCCAAGCGGCTGCCCTTTGGCCGTGGTGGGTTCTGGCCCAGTGTGGGTCCGTCCTGTGCCCTCCCAGGGAGCATGTCCTCTGGGACATCTGCATCCCCTTCCGTGGGCACGGCCCTGGCCCGTGGGCTGCCTAGGTGGGCGACACGTGCTTGCTGGTGGGGGATGTGATGCGAGTGTAAGGAAGCCCCGGGGAGGAAAGAAGGGGACGTTCATGCAAACAGAACCAACCGGCTGCCGCGGCTGTGTCTCAGAGGACCTGGTGTCCCGAGGCACGGTTGCGTGGGGCTCGGGAGGAGGGGTTCCAACTCTGCCACTGCCTGCCACGGGGCCTTTGGGAGCCTTGGGGTGGACCCTGAAGGAGGGCGGCCGAGACCCTCGTGGCCTCTGTGCTTTGGCCTTTACCACGTGGGGCCGTGTTCAGGGTTGTCCAGGCAACTGTGACGCGAAGCTGTGTCGCTGCCCAGCTGGGGGAGGGCAGGGCTGACCCCCGCCCCTGCCCTGCTCCTCTGGCCCAGGAGCCCCATGCCCACGGCACCTGGTCGAGGCCGCAGGCCTCCTGTTTCCCCTCAGACCCTACCTGCCTAACACTCCCGACAGCGTCCCTCCAGGCAGGCGGCACAGGTGTGGGGTTGTGCGGAGGGAGGCCGGGCACCTGTCTGTCCGGCTGTGCACGCGTGGGCCCGGGGGCGCGTCTGGGTGCTGGCTAACCTTCCTGGCTTGGTTTCTGAGATGGTAGCAGTCACGGACATTACCTTTCCCAAAAGTTTCATGTCCGCACTCAAGAGTTGGCACCCAGGTCAGGCTCCCCAAATTAAACATAATCAGGTCCTAAAATCCCAACACCTGGATTTGGTCCAGTGAGCCCCAAGGCAGAAGGTCCAACCTGCAGGGGCGTCCTCGGCGATGTCACCGGGCAGGGCGCAGGGGGCGCTGCGCAGTGTGTGAGCCTGTCCCTGGTCAGCTGGAATCTCTCACGACCGGAACGGCTTTGCCACTCAAGATCCCCAGCCCGTGCTGGTGGCTGGTCCTCCTGGGTGCCCCCTGGGCATGGGTCCCTGGACACAGATCCGGGGGCCTAGTGGCCCAGAGTCACAGCCTCACACACAGTCTGCTCCTGCCGCAGCCTCTGGACAGACCCTCCCTCCCTGACAGTCGTCAGTCCCTGGTGGCTGAGCCTGGCACTGACCCCCAGAGTCTCGGCCAGTGTCCTCCTGCCCCACGGACGTGTCTCCCACCGCCCTCCCACCCCCATCCGCTGGCCCTGCCCCACGGCCCTTTCTAGCACCAAGCCCCGTCCCCAGGTGATGCAGCACCCCTCCGAGGGCGGCCAGGTGCTCAGCCTCTGCAGCAGCCTCAAGGAGGCCTCAGTCAAGGTGGCCGAGATCTGGATCTTCTCACTGTCCAGCCAGCCCATCGACCACGAGGACAGCGCCATGCAGGCGGGGCCCAAGGCCAAGTCTGCAGGTGAGTGCGGCTGCCGGTGGCCCCCGCCTCCTGGGTTGGAGAAGCCGGGGAGGCCCGGGGTGTGTCTGGCCTCCAGCCCCGCCACAGCACTGTGGCCGCCCTGGGAGCCTGGGCCGTAGGCTCATGAGCTCAGCCGCTGGCAAGTCTGGGCTTGACCGCGGTGCCTTCCAGGGTCGGGCACAGGTCCTGGCATGGCTGTCACCCCCGTCACAATGGCGGCCGCTGTCCCCCGAGGTATGGGAGGGCACGCAGGGGACCCAGTTGGGCAGGAAATCTAGGCTGAAGTCTGAGGTCCACAGAGGCCACTGTGGGAGTGGGGAAGTTCAGGCCTGCTCACCCCTGAAGTCCACCTGGGGGGCGGGGACTGCACACGGCTCCCCGCGGGCCCAGGGGCCCCGAGCTCTGGGCCCCGCCTCATTGCCGGGACACCGGTCGGAACCTCCGTGTGCCCCCCTTCCGCTTGCTTGTTCCGTAGATAACTACTCCGAGGAAGAGTACGAGAGCTTCTCCTCTGAGCAGGAGGCCAGTGACGATGCCGTACAAGGGCAGGTAAGCCGGGCCTGGTGTGCGGGACCGTGGCCCTCAGACTCTCGGGGTGTGGATGAGGTGTGGACGGCCAGGGGCTCCCGAGCTGCCGGCGTGAGGTAGGGGAGATGGAGGCCGGGAGCCGGCCCCTGTGTGCTGCTGGCACACGCTTCCCGTCCTGGGGTGGGTCCTGCCGCACGCCCACCAACTGCTCTGGGGGTGCCCTTGCCAGCCCTATGCTTGTGTCCCCAGGACTTGGATGAGGAGGACTTTGATGTGGGGAAACCCAAGAAGCAGCGACGATCGATAGTAAGAACGGCGTCCATGACCAGGGTCGGTGGAAACTGGTTTTACTAACACTGGGGAAGGGGGGGCTGGGGGCGGGGGGCCCCGTGTGGGGGTTGGGATGTGAGGCAACCGTCTGGGATCCCCATGGCCTCTTTGGTGAGGCGTGAAGGCGGGGAGACTCCACGGCCTTGTGCCAGCAGGCAGGCCATGAGGCGCTGGCCATCGTCCGTGGGAGTGTCACTGGTGGGGTCCTCGTGCTTATCCTGGGCAGCTGCCCCTGGTCCAGGGGGCCGGGTATGACGGGGAGGATGACGGCTGACCTGCTCAGGCCGCTCCACGAGCAGAGCTGGGGAGGCTGTCCCTGTCCCCTGTGTGCCCAGACACGCCGTTCGAGGCCAGTCCCTCGTTTCTGCGCTCAGCATCTGAGCCCCGCGGCAGGCACGGTGGCCCGCGGGCTTCGGCGGGGCCGTCCCGCTTCTCCTCCAGGCAGAGGCCTTAGGCCATCGTAAGATGCCCACCACTGGGCACAGAGCCCTGGGGGATTCCTAGAGCCAAGCTGCCCTGTGTGCACGGGGCATGGCCTGGGCTGCACACTGGCAGCCACGGATCCCGTGGGACGCAAGCTCAGCCCCAGAGGCCCCCGCCCCTCTGCTGGCAGGCCCGGGCCTGGTCCCGGTGTGGCAGGGCAGTGTGCCAGCCCCTCTGGGAGCCTCGGTTCCGGGTCCAGAGCCCTGATGCCCGTGCAGGGCTGTGTGGGGCTCCTTTCTGGGGACACCCCCTAAGGGTGGCGGGGGCGGCTGCCTCACCCGCTGGCTCCAGCCTCGGAGGCCCAGGGCCACGCTCCGGCTCCCTGCTGAGCCCACCTTCCCCGTCCGCTTCCGGTGCTGCTGGGGCCAGGTGGGGCCTTGGGAGGGGCCGGCAGCCTTGCCCACTCGGAGGCCCCGGAGGGAGATGATGCTCGCCCACCCTCCACTCCCCCTGGGCCTGGGCCCAACCCCAGCTGCGTGTCAGACGCTGGGGAAGGGGCCGGCACCATGGGCTGTGGAGGGCCGGGCCTCCCTGCCACCGCGCCTGCGTGTCCTCTGAGGGGCCGCTCCTTGGGCTCTGAGTCTGTCCTGCTTGTCTTGCAGCAACAAAACTTCAAGCAGAAGGTCGTGGCCTTGCTGCGGAGGTTCAAAGTGTCGGACGAGGTGAGTGCCCAGGGTCCTGGGGCACCGGGGCCTCGTCCTGGCTCCGCCGCTGCCTGTCCCGCGGCCCCCAGGCACCGTGTCCTTGTCCGCGAGAGCGGGCCATCCCACCCCCGGGGCACCTCAAGGCCAGGGCTGAGGCCGCCCATCGTGTCTGGAACTGCAGCCCCGCGAACGGCCCGGCGGGGGCTGGGTGTCGCTCACGGCGTGACCATGCGCTTCTGTGCTGAGGGTATTTGGGGCCGTTCTCGGTTAGTTCCCACGTGCCCCACTGCCGACGCGCTCCGTCCCGCGGCTTCCTTCCACTAGCTGCTTCCTGCTCCCCAGACGTGCCGGGGGGGCTCGAGCAGCTCTTACAACTACAGGAGAGACACCTCCGTTTCCTTTTTAACTCGGGCAGAGGAGAGTTAGTCCAAGGTGCTAGAGCCGCCCGGGAGCAGTGGCGTGCGAGTGTGCACGTGTCACCGCCACGCGTGGTCGTGGCTGCGAGGGAAGCCACGGCCGCTCTTCCACACGCCTGAAGCTCTCCGTGGGCGTGGCGGCTCTTCTCCGACCGTCTCAGCCTCAGTTTCTCCAGATCGCCCGCAGCTTCTGTAGGATCCCTGTGAGACCCCCAGCTGCCTGTCTGCGGACCAGCTCATCCCCGGACTTGCGTGGAGATGCGGGGGACCCACAATAAACAAGTCTTGGGAAAGTACAGTGGGAGGACTCACACTTTCTAACCACGCAACTTTCTGTCTTTTTTTTTTAAAGATTTTATTTATTTATTTGACAGAGAGATCACAAGTAGGCAGAGAGACAGGCAGAGAGAGAGGAGGAAGCAGGCTCCCTGCCAAGCAGAGAGCCCGATGTGAGGCTCGATCCCAGGACTCTGGGATCATGACCTGAGCCGAAGGCAGAGGCTTTAACCCACTGAGCCACCCAGGCACCCCTAACCGCGCAACTTTCTAAGCGGTACAGGAACCGAGAACACACGAGAGACCAGCAGTGCATTTCCAACAAGGATGCCAAGACCACTCAGTGGGGGGGGGGGGCCTTTGGGCAGCTAGTGACGGCACAGCCAGATGTCCACACGCGAGAGGACCTCACACCGTGTGCAGAATTAGCCCCTGTGGTCAGAGACCTACACGTAAGTGCCTGCACCGGGAAACTCAGGAGAGTGATCTTGGCTGCGGGGCCTGGGCCGTGGGGCTTAGACAGGACACCAGATGCACAGGCCACCAGGGGAGCCGGGCAAGTCCATCCTCATCCAAACATGGACGCTTCTGTGCTCTGAACTCCCAGCAGGAAGATGAACCGGCGGCCGTCACCGCAAGGGTATTTACAAGTTGTAGACCTGTAAGGGAGCTGTGCCCGCCAGACTGGAGGCACCCTCACAGCCGCAAACAGACACTCCTGACGAGAAGTTAACGGTCTGGCGCAAGGGACGGTCAAAGGCTCGGACTAGAGGTTTTCTCTGAGCAGGAACCTGAATAGCCAGGAAGCCCCGAGAAGCTGCGAGACGACATCCCGAGGCCCTGCGGAGGGTCGCTGTGACCTCACAGGATGGCGTGCAGAGGTGCTGACAGGTGGGGAGCAGCTGGACCGCAGTGCTGACCGCAACAGCTGCAGGGCAGCCACTGCAGAACACAGCCGAGCCGCTCCTCCGAGTGTCCACTTGACCCTTCACCAGCCATTCCGCCGGCCGATCGATCCCGCCGGCCATCCCACACCTGGTATCAGCCCATAAGATCCAGGATGTCCACACGAAGACTGAGGGGCGGACAGTCCCAGGAGCTTTGTCTGTAGCAGCAAAGCCTGGAGTCTCTTATCCGCTGGCGGCCAGCTAGGCCTAGGCCGCATTCAGGGATGGGTGGGCAGTGACGAGGACGTTGCTGGAGGCAAACAGCACAGACACCTGGATACAGCTGCCCGAGTGGGCAGAGCCCAATGCCGAGGGCTGCACACTGTGTAACCGCTTCCATGACGTTCTGGGGGAAGCCCACACGTGGGGACAGAAGTCAGTTCAGGGTTGGGAGGAGGGAGCAGTGAGAGGGTGGGGAGCCCCTGGGAGGGAGGCCTTCCGAGCCCTGACCACCGTGCGGGCCTGTCCCAGGAGGCACTCCCTGCCCTGCGTTCCTGCTGTGCGTTTCTCTGTTGAAGCACGAGCCACGAGGGCAGAATGGCTGTGCTATGCGTGGCACCCGGTGACCGGAGGTCCCAGGGGTCATCCCAGTGTGTGGCAGAACTGGGCTGGGGGCATGTGTTGGAGAGAGGGCGCTTGGTGGCTCTGTGCCGTCTTCCTGTCTGTCCTGCCAAGGGGATGCCCCCCCCAGCCTGCCCTCCCACGTCTGGTCTCACCGTAGGTCCTGGATTCGGAGCAGGACCCTGCAGACCATGTCCCCGAGGCAGAGGAGGACCTGGACCTCCTGTATGACACGTTGGACATGGAAAACCCCAGTGACAGTGGCCCGGACCTGGAGGACGATGACAGTGTCCTCAGCACCCCCAAGCCAAAACTCAGGTGAGCACACACACTGCCTCTGTCTGCTCCCGGCCCCAGGCCCCGGCAGACACACACCCCTGCCATCCCGTGTTGCAGGAGCCGAAGGCAGCGTGCACTTGGGACATGGGCTCTGGGTCAGGGAGGAAGAGAGACGCACCTCCTAGCAGACAGCCCGGTTTGCAGTGTTTCGGAGGAAGAGAAGTAGCAAAGTGGCAGGGTCATGCCTGCATTCTGGAAAGATCTCTCTGGGACCCACTGGGAGCGGGAAGACAGGAGACCCGTTAGCAGGCATTGGGGTCGTCCCTGCAAGAGGTCATGGTGTCAGAGATGGAGGGGCGAGACCTCTGGGTGGGGAAGGTGGTCAGGAGCTTCCCCAGGGCCCCGGCGGGGCTGAGCGAGGCACCTGACACAGGAGGGGCCGGCAGGGCTGGCAGGCAGGAGGCCATGGAGCTCTTCTGTTCACTGGGGAGACGGGGGACTGCAGAGTGTCCCTGTTGCACAGGTGGGAGGGGCGGGTGAGCAGTGCTAGTGCTGGTCCCTGAGGAGCCGGGTGTCAGCCTGGCTGGGGCAGGAGACCACAGGAGGCCCAGGCTTGGGGTCGGGGGAGGCTTGGCCACGGGACCCAACAGTGTGTAGCTGCTGAGTGGGGGCTGTATTGCAGTCCAGAAGATCTGTGGCTTTCTAGTTTTGCTTTTAATGTTTTGTTTTGTTTTTAATGTGAGGGAGGGTGCACACACCCACCAGTGGGAGTGGGGGACGGGGGAAGGGGAAGCAGACTCCGCACTGAGCAGAGAGCCCAATGCAGGGCTCAGTCCCAGGACCCTGGGACCATGACCTGAGCCAAAGGCAGATGCTTCCCGACTGAGCCCCCCAGACACCCCTTAACCTTTCGATCCAAGTCAGTGGGACAGAGATGCACACGGGGAGGGTGGGCTTTCTGTGCAGTTGGCCTCCAGCCGCCCCACCGTGGCCAGTCCCGTAGTGGGCATGCCTGTGGCATCTGTGGGCGCTGGCCTAGGTCTCAGCCGTTGGCCTTTGCGGCAGATGCTAACAGTCTCCCCCACCCACATGCCGCCGTGCCTGTGGCGCCTCCCCCCAGCAGAGCCGGCAAGGCTGCCGTGGTGCTTTGGGCTGTGCCGCCTTCAGCTGGGCCGGTCTCTGCTTCTGTGACTCATGTGGTCACCCTCGCCGGTGGCTGCCCTGCAGAGCCCGTCGCAGGCCAGCTGCTGTTCCCAGTCGCGGGGCTATGCGTGGGCATCTCGGGGCCTGGTCCTGCCCGTGCGTTTCCCTGTCCCCAGGCGGCCACGCCGCACCCACCATTTCAGCCTGTGCTGTTCTGAGTGTCAGAGCTCCCTTGACTCTGCCCTGCCGTCCTGCAGGGCCGGGGTGTGGACTTGCTAGCCTGGGGTCGCTGCGGCCTGCTGATGGCAACCTTGTGGCGGTCTCAGGCGTGCTGCTGTGCTGCTGCGAGCTGGCCGTGGGGCCTGAGGCTCCCCCACACCCCCGTGCCACCAGCCACCCTTCCTGGGGAGAAGGCCGGGGGTGGGTGGGTTTCAGGGATACAGGTCATCTCCAGCGGGCGTCTGAGCGGGTGGAGGCGCCAAGAAGGGCTGCGGGTGGCCGGCACTCAGGGTCCTCCCCAGGGCCATCGTTCCCCAGCCACCGCCCAGCACCCCCAGCTCTGCGTGGCTGCCGGATCCCAGGAGCACGGGGGCCGGACCTTCAGGGTGGGGAGGGCCCTGGAGGGTGATCTCTGTCCACCCCGCACCCAGGCCCTACTTCGAAGGGCTGTCGCACTCCAGCTCGCAGACAGAGATCGGGAGCCTCCACAGCGTCCGGAGCCACAAGGAGCCTCCGAGTCCGGTGAGCAGACGCGGCAGCCCTCTCTCCCGGTGGGGCCTCAGGCAGGGGCAGCTGTCTCTCTGGGTCGCTCTGAGGGGAGCTTTTGCATGGCCTGACCCTGGGCTCCTGGTCTGTGTGGCCCCAGCCTCATGCTCAACGCCTGATTCCCATCTTGTCCTCATAGGCCGACGTGCCTGAGAAGACCCGGGCCCTCGGAAGCAAACAGCCCAGCGACAGCACCTCCGACACGGTGACCCACGTGAGTAGGCGTGGGCTCGTGCCCTGGGTCAAGCCCAGAGCTGCTGACCCACTGCCTCTAGGGTCCTGAGCCCACATCTCCCAGGACCAGGGCACAGAACCACAGTGAGGGTGCCCCTGGGCTCGCCCCCTCCCCGAGGGATGGTCAGGGTCCCCCGGAGTCACCCTAGTTCCAGGAGGATGGGGGTGTCCCCCTGCTTTGCTGTCGGCACAGGCTCTGTGAATGCTCCGGTTGTCTCTGCCCTCGTGAGGTTCCCAGGGACAGGGTCCTGGGCCGCGGGCGGGTTCGCAGAAGGTTTAGTGCTGGGCTCCCCTAGCAGCCAGGGCCGGGAGCCCCGTGGGTGGGAATGGAGGTCGGCTCAGCTCCCCGGGGGGGGAGTGTGTCTGTGCCCCCTGTGGAGAGCTGTCGGCCTGAAACCAGCCCACACCCCCCACCCAAACCAGGGGCTCCTCGGGCCTGAGACTGTGGCCTCAAGAGGAGGGCCCTGTAGGATGTGCTTTGCCATCAGGCCCCCTTCTCTGCATCTCAGAGCACGCCCGCCCCTGGGGAGCAGCCGGCACAGCCGGAGGACAGCCCAGAGGCAGAGACCTCCGCTCTGGACGTGTTTGCCGAGAAGCTGCCGCCCAGCGGGCGGATCACCAAGACGGAGTCCCTCGTCCTCCCCTCCACCAGGTGACGGGACGCCCTGGGGAGGCGGTCGGGCAGGCACTATACACGTGGGCCGGTGTGGGGCGTGGGCCCCATCTGACTGCATGGGAATCACTTAGAGGCATGGAGATTCCGGGGCCCACCCCGGAGAGCCACATGGGACCCCACCCCGTGTTTGTAGCAGCTGCCGGCACGCCTTCTGGGGCTGAGGTGTGGCTCCTGTGGACCAGCGTAGCCCTGGGTGCCGGTGTGGAGGGGGCGTGCCCAGCTGGGCCCAGAGCCTGCTGTGGTTGGTGTGGCAGCCCCCAGGCAGTGGTGGTGCTGGGTCCGCCGTGGCAGCTCTGTGGGGCCGGGACCCTGCCCCTACGGTGGGCGTCATGGAGGTGGGGGCTCTGAGTGGCAGGGACCCAGGCAGCTTCCCAGTGGAGGACACTCCCGCAGCGTCTCTTACCCGCCCCCACTGCCATCTTGGTCCGTCCGCGGGTCCTCGGATCCCCTCCCTGGGACGTGCTCTCCGGCCTGTCCCATCGTCACCTTCCTTGGGCACCTGGCCACACCCTCTGGGCCGCCACACCCTCTGGGCCACCACACATGGCCACGTGCTGCCACTGCTGCCGGGCCCTGCGTTCCTGCCCCAAGACCCACGGGGCTGGGCCCTTCGCGAGGCAGAGCCCCCTTCTTGGGGCCGTGGCTCTGCACAGCTGGCACATGCCTTTGGTGTCGGGCCTTATGCCCACAGAGAAAGCATCTGTGCCAAGTGCAGGCGTGGGTGCCACGTGGGCCCCTCGTACTGCCTGCCCCTGCCCTGCCAGCCTGTGTGAGTCCGCCACGGGCCCCGCCACCGAGCAGTCCCCTTCCCTGGGTTGGTGAGCACATGGGCCGGCCCCAGCCTATGCTGCTTCCTTGCAGGTCTGAGGGGAAGCAGGCCGGCCGCCGGGGTCGGAGCACATCTCTGAAGGAGCGGCAGCCCGCGAGGCCGCAGAACGAGCGGGCCAACAGTCTGGACAACGAGCGGTGCCCGGACACGAGGAGCCAGCTGCAGGTGTGCACTCCGGGAGGGGCACAGGCAGAGGCCACAGCTGCCCAGGACTGACCCAGTGCTGCTGGCTCTGGGGGGCGGCAGCCTGGCCACCTCGTGGGCTGTGACGGTCCCTCAGGGTCTTCGGCCCAGTGACCGCTGTCCAGTGCAAAGCTGAGTTCCTGAGCGAGGACGGGGCCGGCCTCTCCTGCCCACCGCTGGGGAGCAGGAGGGGTCAGCTGGGCGGCTGAGGGGCTGCAGCACACCTCCCACCAGTGTGGGGGGACTTGTGTCTCCAGATCCCCAGGAAGACCGTGTATGACCAGTTAAACCACATCCTCATCTCTGACGACCAGCTTCCGGAGAACATCATTCTCGTCAACACCTCCGACTGGCAGGGGCAGGTGGGGACGGTCCGGGTGTCCTCCCTGCGGTGGGAATGGGGGGGTGGGGATGCCGTCCCCGCAGCAGGGGTGAGGGTGCGGTGCTGGCGGGCAGCCAGGAGCAGCGTTGGGGCCCAGGCCGCGCCCTCCTCGCCTGCAGTTCCTGTCAGAGGTCCTGCAGAGGCACGCGCTCCCCGTGGTGTGCACCTGCTCTGCGGCGGACGTCCAAGCGGCCTTCAGCACCATTGTCTCGAGGATCCAGAGATAGTGAGTCCGCCCAGCCCGCTGCGGCCGCGCCATGGCTCTGTCCCGGGGGCGGGGGCGGGGGCGGAATCCGGCCGAGCCCGCACACAGCCGCTGGCAGCCCCGTCTTCTGTCCAGGTCTGGGCGGTCGGGTGGGGGGACGACGTGGGTGTTGGTGGCCATCTCGGGGTCATGAGTGGACCGTCGTGGCCCGGGGCTCAGCCCTCCCTTGCCCGGGGGCCGCTCAGGCGCGCGGGGTGGTCCTGGCAGCAGGGATGGGTCCCTGAAGTGTCCGTCCGCTCTGTCCCGCCCGTGGGGCCACAGCTGCAACTGCAACTCACAGCCACCGACACCCGTGAAGATCGCCGTGGCCGGGGCGCAGCACTACCTCAGCGCCGTGCTGCGGCTCTTCGTGGAGCAGCTGTCCCACAAGACCCCCGACTGGCTGGGCTACATGCGCTTTCTCGTCATCCCGCTGGGTGAGGGGCGGGGGCGCCGGGCCCCCCGGTGCCGGCCTGGGAAGCGAGGCAGGGCTGCGTGCGGGTCCCGACACGATCCAAGCCCGTGGGACGTGGCTCTGTGTCCGTGGGCTTGCCCTATCGGTCCCTGGGGGCGCCGGGTCCTGGGGGGAGGCTCACCGGCCCCACGCATGGTCCGCGGTGGCTCCTGCGCCCCCCGGGAGTGGGGCAGGGCTCTGAGGGGCACCGAGCGGCCCATGCGGCCTGATGGCCTCCCCTCGACTCGCAGGCTCCCACCCCGTGGCCCGGTACCTGGGCTCCGTGGACTACCGCTACAACAACTTTTTCCAGGACCTGGCCTGGAGAGACCTGTTCAACAAGCTGGAGGCCCAGAGCGCTGGTGAGGCCTGGGGCCCCGGCCGGGTGGGGCCTCCCTGGGGAGACCTGGGGCCTCTGCCCGGTGCTCCCCACTGGCTGTCGTGGGCCTCAGAGTGGGCTGGCCGTGGGGGCCCCTGGCGAAGGGCTCCCAGGGATTTGGAGACGCCGTGAGGGCAGAAGGTCCCTCAGCCGGCCCCAGTGCTGCCACTGCTCCTGGGCTGGGAACCGGGCAGCCCCGGGGACAGCACGCGGGGTGGAAGGGGAGTGTGGCCCCCACGGACCCTGCCCGGCCTTCTCATGCAGTGCAGGACACGCCGGACATCGTGTCGAGGATCACACAGTACATCGCAGGTGCCAACTGTGCGCACCAGCTGCCCATCGCAGAGGCCATGCTGACCTACAAGCAGAAGAGGTACCTCGCTGGGCCACGGGCAGGGCAGGGTGCAGGGAAAGGGGAGGGGCCCCCGCTCCATGCCACAGACATGGGCTGCCCGCAGCCACCGTCCCCCCCGTAGTCCTCCCTACCTGCTCTGGTCTCAGAGCCTTCAGGCACGGTCAGCAGGGACAAACCTGGTTGGCCAAGGGACCGAACCCGAACAGGGCTTGTGGGGGGACACCATGAGCGGGTCGGGCAGCCCCAGGTCTCCTCTGAGTTGGTCAGAAGGAGCGGCGTCAGGATTCCTCTCCGTAGTATGCTGGAATTTCCCATAGCAAAGGGTAAGGGAACACCCGTCACAGGGCCCTGTCCTGGCCGCGACCTGCTCTGGGGACACAGGCCCAGGCTGCTTCAGCCAGGCTGGAGACGTGTTCTCGGCCTGACCCTGGGCACGATAGCGGGCAGGATGGCAGGCAGGAGCGGGGGCCACAGCCGCGGCCAAGCAGAGGTCTGGCTGCCAGGCCCGCAAGGGCAGTGGGCCCCTCCAGGGAGGTGGGCTGAAGGGCCCAGCCTGCGGCTGGTCGGAAGAGGAGAAGCGTCTGGGGTCCCGTCTGCGGGACACTCGTGGCTCTCCCCGCACAAGATGGGAACCCGCAGTGGCCGCCTGGCTCACAGCACCGGGCTCTTCCCGCGTGAGCTGGACGTGCTGCTGAGCACGTGATAACGTGTCTGTGTTTTCTCTTTTGGTGGCTTTCCGAAAAGGAAAAAGAACTTTCACTTTGACTTTACCCTCAGGTACCGCTGTCCCTGGGTCTGCGCCCGTATCCCCGTGCTGGTCTTTAGGGCTGTTTAGCAGTAGGAGCCGCAGGGGGCGTCCCATATCCTGCCACCCATCAGGCAGGGTCCCCCAGCCGAGCGGCAGGTGGGTGGGCACCCCGAGCCGGGACTCGGCTCTCCGTCTCCGCCCAGCTCGGAGGATCGCAGAGCACCGTGGGCTGACGTCGCGGCGGGCAGGCTGTCCTCTGTGTGCTGCAGCCCGGGGTGCCACTGGCAGTAGCGCCCGGTGGAGCCCGTCCATGGTGTCTGTGCTGAGGCCTGGGCACCACGTCCTGCAGTAGAAGCAGGTGGCTGGGCCGCTGATGCCACGCGGGCTGCGTGTGGACTTTCGTCCCAGCACAGCGTGTCTGCCGACCCGACTCACGGGCTCAGCACCCTGGGAGGGCCGCACTGCGGCTGCTTCTGCATGTGGGGGTGTGCAGGCCACAGGCGGGGGACCTGCCCCGGTGGCGCGCGCTCTGAGCCTGCTGTGGGCCCTGCGCCCCGGGTTGCGGAGAGCGGCACAGAGTGGTTCCCAGCTGGGCAGCGGCTAAGCTGCCATGACCCCCACGTTCAGTGAAGGGCTTTTCACCCCGCGTGGCTCCCCCCTTCAAAACCTGCACTCTGGAGCCACACTTCAGAGTGCCCCCAGAGCTGCCCTTTTTGGGGGGCTCCCCTTGCCTGTCCTGGTGGCCTATGTGTCGGGCCCCCACCAGGGCGTTGTTCCACTCTGTGTCTTGGGTTCTTTCTCTCCTGGGAAAGCCCACCAGCCCAGGGTCTCTGGGCCCCCGGCAGCCTCCTTGCTGGACACATTAGGAGGAAGGGTCTGCATTCCTCCATGGTCCTGCTAAATGAGCCTTTGTGAGCTAAAGAAAGACCAGCCGTGGTGTGCCCGTGACTGCTCCGCCGCCCCGGGGGTCATGCCGTGGACACCCACAGCCTGCACCCGCTGCCTGACTCCAGCCTCTCGTCTCCCCAGCCAGGGCTTAGGGGACCCTGGCCCTCGTCCTGTGTCCCTGCCCCCACCTCTGCGTCACAGTGGTGACACCAGCACCCGGGATGGGGCCCCAGGGAGGCCCAGCGTGCTGGCCGCCCTTAGAGCCCGGAACAGGAGGTCAGCAGGGAGCCTCTGTTGTCTGGGACAGAGGACAGAGGGCTCAGGAAACCTAGGAGACGGTGGGCAGTGGACTTGGCCCTCAGGGCCGCATCTCCTCCTGCCCCTTGAGAGCCCCTGCAGACAGGGTCTACACTGCACACAGCTCCCAGCCTGCCCTCAGACCCATACCTGCTGCGTGCAGCCCCAACAGCTCCCCGGGAGCACGTCCAGGGACGGCGTCCTCTGCACCCCGGCTCCACACCCCCAGTGACGAGCTGAGATACAGCTGTGCTTCCCCCATGTGGTCTCATGAGCCAGGGGTGCAGGGTCCCCACCACGGAGCCACACGTGGGAGCCTGAGGAGTCCCGACCTCTGCCCCACCCAGAACAGGTCCGGAGTGTAGGTGGCAAGGCCTCAGTGGCAAGCCGGTGTCACCCCTGTCCCGCTGGCGCGTGTCACGTGCTGAATGTTGTCTGCATGGCCAGAGGCTCGGCTTGGCTCAGACCCAGCAGCGTCCCTGTGTGGTGGCATCTCCTGGCAGCCCCTCCAGGCCCTCGTCCGCCTCCCTGCGTGCTGCTTGTGGGGAGGGTCCGGGAGCCCTGTGGGTGGGATTCCCCCTGCCCTGGGCTGGGGGCCCCCCGAGGAGCTCGCATGTGCCAGCGGGCCTGGCATAGGGTTCGAACTGCTATGTTACCCGGGGATAAGCTCTGTCCCCTTGGGTCAGAGTGGCCGGGCATCCGGCCGTCTTCAGCAGGTGGCCCTCATCTGTAGGTTGTTTCATCCAAAGACATTACCCAGGTCTTCCTCAGAGGTGTGGTAGGCGGTGCTAGCTCAGAGGCCAGGGGCCCTGTGTCCAGGGGGCACCCAGGAGCCTGCCCGCCGCCCTCCCCTCAGGCAGGTGCTGAGCCTCAGGGCGAGGACAGCGCCTCCTGCTCACACTGGCTTGGGTGCCAGGTGCCGTCTGTGCCGGCCCATGCACACTTGGTGGGGCGCGCTGACCGGCTGCCCGTCTCCATCCCCACAAGAGCAGGGCCGGGGCTGCTGCCGGCCCTTGGGCGGGGGTGGTGCCCAGGCTTCTCCCCAAACAGCCCTGTGCCTGGGGGCACCATGGCAGCCAGCAGGTGGGCACCCCAGAGCCCATGCAAAGCCGCCTGCAGAAGGTCTACTCTGTGACGTCAGCTCTGATGTTCGGGGCAGGAGGCGGAAGAGGCAGCTGGGAGCTGGGCAGGCTGGGCGGGCATCTCCCTCCTCTGAGGTCCCAGGAGGCCCAGCACTGTTCCTGCCCGGTAGGTTCTCCCAAGGGTCAGGAGCAGGGGAACCTGGGGCCCGAGTGGCCTGGGCCCTGTGGCAGAGACCGGTCACCGTGTGGCCATCTGCAGAGATGAGTGGCAGGCCGGGCCTGGCCCACGCAGCTCAGGCGTGGTTTGCGTCCCCTTAGCTGCCGCCCACATCCCCCACCTCCAAGGGCCTCTGACACGCAGGCCTTCTCCGGTGATCGCAGGGGAGCCAAGGGTCGGCTGGAAGACCCGCGGGGCCCAGTCCAACAGAACCTCACGGCCGCGGTGCTGGCTGGCCTCCACCAGCAGCACGGCCCCGGACACTCCGTGTCACCTTGAGGCTGCCCTTGGGGTGGTGCTCTGCCAGGGCTTGGCGTGTGCACCCCGTGCCCAAGGACGGAGGCCTGGGGACCGCCCCTGCCCCGTCCCTCTGGCCGGCACAGACTTCACCTAGCCTGCCGAAGACCAGAGAAACTCCGCAGCCTGGCTTTGAGTCAGCCCCGCACGCTGGGGCCCGGGGGTCCTGGGGCGCATACCACAAGCAGTCGTCTTGGGGCCGAGTGGAAACGGAGGCCCGCAGGGTTCGCGGGCGGAGAAGCTGGGCTCGCGCACGGCTCCCCACAGGCCTCTGGTCCCTCGCTGCAGAGAGCTGAGCCCAGGGCCGGAGGGCAGGGCCGGGTGCTGCGGGGATGGGAGTGGGCGGGGCGTGGGCGCTGCGGCCTGCCTGGCGGAGTGAGAGGTGACTGACCGGCTCCTGTTTCTCGTTCTCAGCCCTGACGAAGAGTCCTCTCAAAAGTTCATTCCCTTCGTAGGGGTGAGTACTGCTCTAGTGGGGCTTTGGCCTTCCCCGAGGCGTCCCTCCCGTGTGGCTTCACCCACGTGGGGACGACCCACTTGCCAAGCTTTTATAGCGCTGCTTGCGTTAACTTGATGTGTTCCAGAACCTTCTTTGCCAGTTTGAGGGAAGGACTCCTTAGGTCACCCCCCATCTTAAAGCTCGTTGCTCATTGTTTGTTTCCCACGTTGAGCAGGGCTGGGCTGGGCCCCGAGGTGGTCGCTGCTCCCAGCTCGGCTTGGTGCAGGCAGACAGCTCCCCTGGGGGCCAGGGCTCCGGGCTCAGCACGTCCTGGGCACACGGGCTGGGTCAGACTCGGCTGTGGGGGGGGCGCCCGGGTCAGCAGGGTCTTGGGACCAGTCCTACGGGGATGGGGCAAAGGGGTGCTTCTGTCCCTTGGGAATTACAGGACAGGAAGGGGTGCCTCCCGTGCCAGCCTGCTCAGCCAGGGGTGTGGCTTGTAAATTGGGAGGTTTGTCTTTCTCCCATGGCTGCTCCCTGCCGGCGGGGCCACGGCCGCAAGTCTCCAGAGCCCGGAAGCGTGCTGCGGGGGCCACAGGCAGCCTGGCAGGCGGGGCCCCAGGCAGAGCACGGGGTCCATGCCATCGCTGACCCTGGCCAGCCGTCAGAGCAGCTAGTGGCCCTCCCGGGATGGAGTTAGTGCGGGGGCACCTGTCTCGGGGGACCTTCTGACCCACCGGATGGGGGCAGTGCCAAAACCCGTGGACTCTGGAAGCACCCAAATGACTGAGACGGGAGTCGTCACTTTACTGGTTTAATTTTGTGTGGCTCGCACGCCCATCAGCCCGCTTGGCGCCTGGTGCAGGCCCCTCAGCCCACACCAGGCCAGCCGCGGGCTCAGGGTTTATGGAGGGCCAGAGTGTGGGCCCCGTGCCCGCTCCCCAGGGTGCAGGCTGACCTCGGGGGGGCAGCCACGGCAGTGGGAGGAGCCCAGGCCGCCCTGGGCTCAGCTCTGCTCCAAGGACGGGAAGAACTAGGGCCCCGCTCCAGCCCAGGAGCCCCCCAGAGGGCGGGGCATGGCAGGCGGGCGCCCGCAGGGAGACAGCCCTCGGTGTGTTTGGACCCTGGTGCACAGGCGGGAGGGCGGCAACTGAGCGCGGCCGCCAGCCTGCATCCCGCTGCCCTACAGGTGGTGAAGGTTGGGATAGTGGAACCGTCCTCAGCCACGTCAGGTAACCCCGTGCTCCCTGCCCTCGGGGCTGGAAAGGGGAGGGACGCCACCGTGGGACACCTGGCAGCTCCTGCCGCTCTGGGGACAGAGCCAGAGGGGGCTCAGCACCACCCAACTCCTTCCCAAAGGTGACTCCGATGACGCGGCCCCCTCGGGCTCCAGTGTGCTCTCATCCACCCCACCGTCCACGTCTCCCGCGGCCAAGGAGGCCTCGCCCACCCCGCCTTCCTCCCCGTCGGTGAGCGGGGGCCTGTCCTCCCCCAGGTAAACGTGGCCATGCGAGGTGGGCGCCCCACTCCGTCCTCACGTTAGCCCCTGACGCAGCGGGGCCTCGGTTACCACTTGTGGCCGTGACCACACCAGCCAGCGGAGGGTCCAGCCAGAGGGGACACTCCGAACAGCCCTGGGGAAGACACAGGCTTGCGGGGCCAGGCGTCCCCTAGGGTGGGGGTGGCACAGGTCCTGGCTGGCTTGGGAGACTTGTCCCCTCCCCAGTCCTGGGGGCGCTAGGGACAGAAACCACACAGACCAAGTGAACGGGGACCCTGCCTGCAGACGGGGGTCGGGAGACGGGGATGTGGGTAACCGCTGTGGGAGCCAGCGGGGGAGGTGGTCGGCAGCTCCTCCCACCCACCCCCGTGGGCCCCAGGGTCATAGGGCTGCCCCCGACTCCCATGGGGACCACACCTCCCATGGAGCTAGTTGACCTTGGCCCTCTAGACTCGAAGGGGTGGCTGGAGAGAGCAGGCGGGTGGCCAGCCCAGGTGCTCGGGGTGACCTCCGTGTGTCCCCAGAGGCTCCAGGACTGGGGCTCCCCACCCCAACCCTGGCAGCCCCCTGGCGATGGGCAGCCCAGGCGCCAGTGGGCCCCTCCCCTGGCCTGTGCCAGCTGCCGAGTGAGGACAGAGAAGTGAGGCCCCCTCTGCTTTTGCAGCCAGGGCATTGGTGCCGAGCTGATGGGGCTGCAGGTGGACTACTGGACGGCAGCTCCGCCCGCAGACAGGAAGAGAGAGGTGGAGAAGAAGGATCTGCCCGCCACCAAAAACACGCTCAAGTGCACCTTCCGGTCTCTCCAGGTCAGCAGGCTGCCCGGCAGTGGTGAGGCCGCAGCCACGCCCACCATGTCCATGACCGTGGTCACCAAGGAGAAGAACAAGAAGGGTGAGGTGGGGGGTGGCCCAGCTGGTGGGGGAACTGGAAGGGTGGCCAGACAGGCCCCAAGGTCGCCACGGGTCTGGGGGCTGCTTCTGATTCCGGCCACGAGCAGCGAGCAGAGGCTACCTGGGCGGGCGGGAGGGCTGGCAGCTGTGGTCCCAGTGGGGTGTGGGCGGCTCAGGTCAGCAGGGCCCCAAGGGCTGTGGCTGAGCCCTGCAGCCCTTCCCTCCTAGTGATGTTTCTGCCCAAGAAAACCAAGGACAAGGACGTGGAGTCCAAGAGCCAGTGCATCGAGGGCATCAGCCGTCTCATCTGCACGGCCAAACACCAGCAGAACATGCTGCGGGGTGAGCGCCGGGGCCGGGACTCGGGGCGTCTCTCGTCCACAGGCCCTGCCCTCCGTGGGGAGCCCGCGGGAGGGGGTCCTGGACCCAAGTCCCTGTTGGTTCTGTCTAAAGTGCGCAAGTGAGCCACAGGAAGCAGACCATCTTGCTGCCCACTGGGTGTCACGCATGCCAGCTTCGAACCCACTTGGATAAAGCATGTGTACGCACAGAACAGCTTTCTCAATTCTGAGAAAGAATCTCTCAACCCTTTCCCTTCTTTTAAGATTGATTTTTATATCTTAGACCTTTTATAGAAGATTTTCTGCAACTCGTTAATTCAGAAAACGGAGCCCAGAACGGTTTTCTCTTCATGAGTCTGAGTCTGATGACCACCGTGGTCGAGAACGGCTCTGCCTTCCTCCGTGGCTTTTCCAGTTTAAGCGGAGGGTGTTTGACCCAGCACACCCCTGCGGGGGCTGCGGGGCTGTGGATGGCGGTGGGAGGACTAGCCGGCGCGTGCCTCACAGGCACCTGGGGTCCCTGGGGGAGCCGGGGCACGGTGGGCAGGCGGGTCAGGTGGTCTTGTCCTCACAGTCCTCATCGACGGTGTGGAGTGGAACGACGTGAAGTTCTTCCAGCTGGCGGCCCAGTGGTCCTCCCACGTGAAGCACTTCCCCATCTGCATCTTCGGGCACTCCAAGTCCGCCTGCTAGCCCTGCCCCGAAGCCCCGGACGGCGAGCGCCGGGAGGGCCCAGCTGCTTTTCTGTTAACATTTCAGTTTACTACAGAGACCCTTAAAAACACAAAGAAAAACAGTCTGAAGTATGAATGTGCTCTCCACCCGGAAACTCGCCAGGAGCCCCCACCCCTGGAGCCCATTAACTGCTCTGCCATTAACCACATGTGCCAGGGGGGCAGGGGAGGCGTGGGGAGGTCGGGCGGGCAGCACTGAGCTTGGAGAACCACGAGGTGTGTTCCAGCCTCAGGACCTCCTGAGCCCCCCCAGCAAGAAGGGTCCTCACCTTCGCGTCCTGTCCTTCCTGAAAGCCAGGACTCTGCTTCCTCAGGGAGCTGGGGTCAGGCGGGCGGCCGCACAGATCGGCGGGTGCCTGTGTGCGCAGGCACAGAGCTGGGTGCTGGACGCTGAAGGCCTCCCGTCGGGAGTGCCCTGAGCAGAACATGGAGGCTGAGCAGCTGTCCAGCGGCACGAGGCGCCCCAGCACCGCCCACTTGTGGTTCCCAATAAACTCCAGCCTTGCGAGGCCGCGGAGGTTTTATAGTAGCAGACGTTTTAAATGCTTTTAAATACATGTTATAACGTAGCTACCAGACGCTGCTCTTCTGATGTCCCAGCAGCCCCTGGGGCTGGGGCAGAGCCAGCCAGTGCGGTCCCACATCCCAGCCCCCGACTCACTGTCCCTCTGGCCACTCTGGAGCCATCACCATGCTTCCACTGGTCATCCCTGTCCCAGACTTAGCAAGCACAGTGGCCCCCATCGCTGGCCCCAGCCCACTTGGCCTCCTCCCCCCGGCCTCTCTGGGCCAAGCTCCCTCGAGCAAGTTTGTGGGTTTGGGTCCCAGCCTGGGGGCCAGCATCGCCCCCTGCCTTCCCACCTGCGGCAAGAGCCCAGCCCAATCCCACTGCTCCCCCCACAGCCCTGCAGCCCACCGTGCACGGGAAGAGCCCACCAGTTCCCATGCTTGGCAGCTTTGGCCCAGGGACCCTGGCAGCCCCCCAGGGGGCCACGCCGGCTATGCTCAGAACACAGTGCCAAAGGCAGGCCGCAGGCTGCAGCACATTCCCGTTCTTGCAGAGGACGGGCGTCACCAACAGCCCATGGCACCGACAGGTCTGCTCCTGGAGGATGAGCCATGGCCCATTTTTCTTCCCTGTGACCTACCCACTTACTTCCTCCTGCAAGGCCGTACAGGGTGTCAGCCTCATGGTCAGTGCCCCTGGGCTAGTTAGGGAACAAGGGAACACGGGTCTGGCCTTGTGTGTGGCCCTGCCTCAGGGGTGCGTGCAGGCAGAAGACCTTCCCCGAGGGCCCAGACTCCTCCCCTGACAGCTCCTGGCTTGGAAGGACGGGGTCAGGGTGCAGGCCACTGTGCCCTGGTGCCTCTGGTGGCCTGTGACATCTGCCAGCAGCTACCCTCAGAAGCAGGCCCTGGGACCTTGAGCCTCCCTGCCCTGTTCCCGCTGCTGGGCCTCAGGGCCTTGGTCACTGGTCCTCAAGGTTCCTTTCCAAAAGTGACTCAGCAGGAAGGAGGGACAGGTGAGACTCCTGACTTCACTTTCTACCTGCAGAACTGACTTGAGAGAAAGGAACCAAAGTGGGGGAAGTCATGTCCACTCCAGCGTGGTGGTGGGGGGGTGTCCCTCTGCTGGGACCACACCCCCCAAATCCACTTCCATAGCTATGTCCTCAGACACGCAGGGGAGCACCTATGCCCCTGGCCTACAGAGCCTGGCTACAGTCTGTCCTGTTCTAAGTGCCACGGGGCCCACCCACCACACTGTCCCCAGGCCCAGGAGGTCATGCACACAGTCCCAGCCACTGTGACTCCATCAGAGACGTGGGCTGTGCTCACCCTGTGCCTCAGCTTCCCCAGTGGCTAAACAGGGAGGGTCCTGTTTCCCCTGCCTACCTCATGGAGCTATTCTGAGGATCCACGGAAAAGCACTTTGTCCCTCCAAGGAAGATGACTCAAGCCAAAACCATCTGTGACGGAGCCAGAGTGCAGCGGTCAGCACAGGGCTCGGGGTCCCAGGCAGAAGCAGTCCCCTCAGACCAAGGGTTCTTAGCCCATTGGGCGACCAGATGTAACCTGGGACTCAAGGGGCAAGCCACCCATCACCACTGGGCAAAGGCCCAGGCCAGGTGGGGTCCCACCGCCTCCTCACTCCTCCCGTGCTCTCCCCCTGGGTCACTGTGTCCTCAGGGCATGCCAGCCAGTGTCCTGAGTCAGTGTCATGGCTGCGTCGCGGGGAGCGGCCGGGGACCGCCTTGCCGCAGTGTCCTCGCCCCCAGGTGGGAGACCAGACTGCTCTCAGGGTCTGGCCTTTGTCCTGGAGCAGGTTCCTCTTTAGCAGACGGGGCCCCCGCTTCTGGGGTCAGCTGCCTGAGCTCCCATGCCGGCCCCCGCCCCCTTCCAGGCCGGCCTCCATGGGCGCAGGAAGTCTACGGGCAGGGCGACCTCCGCGGGGGCCTAACGCTGTGGCGAGGGGGGGCCCCGTCTCTGTGCAGACCGGTTCGGTTCCCCGCACTGCTCGGTCTCTAGGACGTGCGTGTTGCTCGGGCTCTTTTCCCGTCCACGTGGAAAACAGGATTCATGTAAATAGCCTTTTCGGGGACAGAGTCTGACCTGTCACGTATGCGACCGCGCGGACTATTCTAAGGTGCTGATGCGACACTAATAAACCTGGGGCACCCCAGGCCCTCGTCCCTCCCTGCTGTGTGGTTCCTCCGGGCCCGGGGACCGTGGGGGTGCTGCGGGGGGGACGTGCGGTCGGAGGGTTCCGCCGCAGGGGGCGTGGGGGGGCACCGCTTGGGGGAGCGGGGGGGGGAGAGACGCCGCGGACGCGGAGCGGGGGGACCGGAAGGGTCACGGAGGCCACACAGCCTGTAGGCCAATGGCTGCGGGCGGGGGGCACAAGCGCAGGCCCTGTGGGGCTCCGGCCGGGGACCCCCGAGCTCCGAACTACGCCTCGATGCCCCTCCAGAGGCGCAGAACGGAGGCATCTGTGGGGGGACCCCTCTGAGCTCGCCGGGTCCCAACGCACACAGAGCCCCGACCAGCCCCTCGGGCCACAGCGCAGGCGCAGCGCAGGCCGGAAGCGGAAACGGCGGGGCGGGGACAGCCCCAGCGGAACTTCCGCCGCGCTCGGTTCCGCCCCCTCAGAGCCGCGGAGAAGGCGGTGGGCGGCACCCCTGTTCGTCGCCCGCCCGCCCCGGGGAGGACCCTCCCCCCGCCCCCGGCCTACCCCGCCCCGCCCCACCCCATGCCGCTAGCGCACCCGCTGCCCCGCACCTCTCTCCACCCTCAGCCCCTTCGCCCCGTCCTGTTCCCCCCGCGCCCCGCTCCGCCGTCAGCGGCCGCCGCCTCCCGCACGTTCGCTCCTCCCGGCCTCCCGCCCTGTGCCCCCCTGACCCGTGCCCGGAGCCCCGCTCCGCCCTCGCCTCGCCCGCAGAGCCCCCTGGGGTGTGGTGCGCCCGCGTCGAGGTGAGGTCACAGCGAGCGGGAGGAGGGAGGAGGGAGAGCGCCGCTGCCCTTCGTTCTGGGGCTGGTCGGGGTCCTCTGTGCGGTCCGCGGCGGCCGGGGGAGGACGCACGCCCCGCGGGCTGGAGCCAGGCGGGGAGCCTGGGCCCGGGACGGGGGGCAGCGCGGGGTGACCCTGTGGAGAGGAAGGGCGGCCGCAGCGCGGCTGGGGACCCGCGGCCCCCGAGCTGGAAGGGGCGGCTGCCGGAGCCTGACGCGGCCCCCGTGGCCGGGGTCCAGGGAGCAGCGGTGACCTTGCCCAGAGCCCGGCGGCCTGTGGGGCTGGCGATGGACCGTCGGGAGCCCTGGTCTCATGGCCCCGCGGGGAAGGCGCCCCGGCAGGCCTCGCCCCTCCGGAGCCCAAGCAGGGCCTGGGGCCGGCCCAGCACCCAGAGTGGAGGGCAGCAGGCGCGGACTCAGGACTGGGTAAGCTGCACCCGGGAACTGGCCCTGCAGGTGGGCTGGCCCGGGCGAGCGGCAGCGGGGGCGCCTCGGCCTCGGCCTCCGGCAGGGCCCACCCGGGCCGCGCGCTCTTCCCGCGGCCCCGCAGTCTCCCCAGCGCCTGCACCCTGGGCGGTGGGCGGCAGCACGGGTAGGCGGGGGGCGGGACCGTCCCCAGCAGTGGTGACCCGGGCATTCCCAGGGCCTGTGCCTGTGCCGGCCCCATGCTGGAGGCGCGCTGCGCCCGACCTCACGCCGGATGGGCGAGCGGCTGCCGGTGCCCTGGAGCCGTGAGAGGGGACAGCGGCTCCGCCCCCGGGTGCTTCAGGAGCAGAGAAGCCAGACGCCCAGAGCTGTGTGTGGCTCCCTGTGTGCGGGGGCGGCAGACGCAGTGGCTGCTCTGGCCACCGAGCCCCGGTCTGCCGCGTCGCTAGGCCAGCCTGGGTGCTGCGTTCCGTAGAGCCGCCGCCGGAGGACACCAGGCGTTCGCGGAGACGCTGTGTCTCCAAGGAGGGTAAAGCCAGAAGCCGAGCTCGGCCGGCCGAGCAGAGCAAGACGGGCTTGCGGGTGCGCCTCGTCCTCCCGGCGGCCTCCGCCATCTCGGAAGAATCGGCCCACGCGGCCAGACCGGAGGGGTGTGAACGCAGGGGACAGCAGCACCACGCGGGACGTGACGGCCTGTTCATGCGGGAGAAGGGACCGGAACCACCCCGGGCAGCTGGGGAGGAGGGTCCGCGCAGCTGCGTGGGGCAGTGGCCCACACGGTTATAAAGAGTCTGGGAGAAAGAGGACAAAGGCCAGTCAGAAAACGGGAGCAAACTTGGCATGAAGTAGGCAAACGTCCCTGAAAGAAACTTTGAAACGCCCCCAAAGTGTTCCCGAGACGCCCGTTCCCGGAGGAAAAGACCCGCACGGAGGGTCCTCAGGCATTTCTCAGTTCCGTGTCCTGGACAGCACAGGTGCTGAATGTTTGGGGTGCCCGGTGAGGAGAGCTCGACTCTTGATACCGGGGTCGTGGGCTCAAGCCCCCGTTGGGTGTAGAGATCACTGAAGAAAGATGAACTTTAAGAAACGATAAACGTTTGTCTTGTCTTTTTCGCTACGCCAAACCGGTAAAATAGAAGAAACCAAAAATAGGTCCAGTTGTAGCAGATGTGAATTCTCACCACGAAGCCGGAGTCCTGACGCGTGACCATCAGGACTGAGAAGGAAGTCTGGAAATTGACCCAAATGCCCGCAGAACTTAGCATAGGATGACGATGGCCTCTCACATAGGTGGGGGAGACGGACTTCAAGTAAGTCTTGTGGGGCAGCCATGCAGAAACGGGGAAGACAGTCATAGCTGTGCCTCTCACTGAACACGGGAGAACCCCGGGTGCAGGGGTGGCCTTTCTAGCCTCCGAGTCCGGGAGCCAGGAGAGAGCAGGCGGTCACGTTCGACCACATGTGGAAAACCCACAGAACTTTCCGGGAGGAGCATCTGGGGGGCTCAGTGGGTTAAGCCGCTGCCTTCGGCTCAGGTCATGATCTCAGGGTCCTGGGATCGAGCCCCGCATGGGGCTCTCTGCTCGGCGGGGAGCTTGCTTCCCCCTCTCCCTCCGCACTTCCCTTGCTTGTGCTCCTCTCTCTCCAATCAATCAATTAATCAATCCTTAATTTAAAAAAAAAAAAAAAGAAAGAACTGGCCAGGATGTGGAGAACGTGGAACCCTGTGCAGCGCTGGTGGGTGTGTGGGAAACACTGTGGAGCCCCACCAAAGAGTAGTGTAGAATGACCACGTGCGCCCGCCTCCACCCCCGTTCCGCTCGCAGGCTCGCATCCGACAGAACTGAAAGGCATCGGGCAGACCGGCGGACCTTCGTGTTTGCAGCAGCGTTGGGCACAGCAGTCCGATTGTGGAGGCGGCCCGGGGTCCCTCAGAGCCCAGTGTGAGGCGTACGTCTGGTGGAACATGACTGGGCCTTAATGAAGGAAGTTCGTTCAGACAAATGTCATGACTGCGATGAGCCTTCAGGACGTTGTGCTGAATCACCGTCCAGTCGCAGACGGACAGACGCTGCACAGCCCACTTCCGTGAGGTCCCTAGAGTGGGCAGACTCGGGAAGGACAGTGGGGGCGCCAGGAGCTGGGGACTTAGCGCGTCGGGAGGACAGTTTCAGTTCAGGAAGGTGAGAACATTCTGGAGACGGGGGGGGGGTGACAGCTGCAGGACATAGGGAATGTGCTTCAGTGACCCTGAGCGGTACACCTTCGAGTGGTAAAAGTTACGTGTGACTTAGCACACGAGAGAACGTAAAAGGGAGGAGAAAAGAAGGCGGAGACGTGGGGCGCCTGGGTGGCTCAGTCGTTAAGCGTCTGCCTTGGGCTCAGGTCATGATCGCGGGATCGAGCCTGGCATCGGGCTCCCTGCTTGGCGACGCGAGCCAGCTTCTCCCTCTGCCCCTCCCCCTGCTTGTGTTCCGTCTCTTGCTGTGTCTCTCTGTCAAATAAATAAATAAATAATCTCTTGGGGGCGCCTGGGTGGCTCAGTGGGTTAAGCCTCTGCCTTCGGCTCAGGTCATGATCTCAGGGTCCTGGGATCGAGCCCCGCATCGGGCTCTCTGCTCGGCGGGGAGCCTGCTTCTCCCCCCCCGCCTGCCTCTCTGCCTCCTTGTGATCCTTCTCTCTCTGTCAAATAAATAAATAAAATCTTTAAAAACAAAACACAAACCAAAAAAACGGAGACACCGATGACAACGAAGGAAACTCTCAGGCGGCCCCAGAGACTCGCTCAGTGAAGGACTTAGGGTGGGCAGTTCCAGGCCGTTAGGAAGTGAGTCCCCCCACCTGTGTGGTGACGACTGTCCAGAGTCGCTTCTGCCTCTCCTGGAGCGGCTTCGCCCGACACCACCCAAGCCGCGGGGGAGGGAAAGAAGGAGAACGACGTGCCGGCGGGACTACGGCACGAACTGAGGAGCCTGCGTATGTGGTCAGTGGGTCAAACCGGGCGGCACCTGAAAGCCTAGCGGTCAGGCCTGACCCCGCAGCCCCCATGCCCCTGCCCCCCGGGAGCCAGGACTTCGTCTCTTCCCCGCCGGCCGAGGAAGGTGTGTGGGTGTGAGCCGTGCCCATGCTCGGCGAGTATGTGACGTCGTGTGTGAAACGACGAAGGACTCGAGAAACGCACGGAATAAAGTCGTCGGCATTCGCGAGGGGGACGAGCATGTGATCTCTCAACAGGTACGGAAAATAACGGTAGTAAGTTCCGGCATCTTTCCTTAAAACAAACATAAACCTATTGGTTATTCTTTCGAGTGAGGCGTGATTACCACGGTGAAAGCCGACGATTCCCAGTAAGGCAGGACGCGGTGGACGTGACACGGTTGCTCTGGGCAGCCTCGGTCCGACTCTCAGAGGCGCCCGGGGTCGCCGCGATGATGGGCCCGTCCGGCCCCGAGCCTGCGCCCCAGTCGGGAGAGGGAGCGCGCTGTGAGTACCTGAAAGGGAGACGTGAAGCGGCCGTATCTGCAGCTAACCCGTGAGCCGGCTGGAACCCCGCGTGAGCCGCTGAGATGACCCCAGGAAGAGCACGGCTGGAGGCGACCTCCCTCGGAAGCTCTGTAGTTCGTGGGGGCCCCTGCGTGGCTCTATCGGTTGCGCGTCTGCCTTCGGCTCCAGTGGTGGCCCCAGGGTCCTGGGGTCGGGCCCCGCATGGGGGGGCTCCCTGCTCAGCGGGGGGGCTGCTCCCCCCACCCCACCGCCCCCCCACTTGTGCTCTCTGGCTCACTCGCTTTCTCTCAAATAAATAAATGGGACATAAAAGAAGTAGAACTTATTTTCTCAGTACACCGAAAATAACCGAGCAGAAAATGTAGTGGGGAGAAGAGGATTCATTCCCTTTCACAGCAGAAACTGCAAAGTCCCTAAGGATGAATCCGTTCCTGAGACGCACCCTGGGGCCCAGCAGCGCCGACAGCAGCTGATGGGAGTCTGTGCCATCTCGTTCCACGGGAAGATTCAACACGTTAAACCTGCTAGATTTCCCCCGAGTACCTTCTTCGGTGCAATACCAGTTTTTCAAAAAAACAGAACTTTTCACGAGTGTTGACAGTCTTACCCTAAACGTGCCTACGTCTCTGTCCAGGTATCAATTACCTGCTGCACCGGACAGATGTCCCCCAGACTCAGCAGCTCAAAGAACGAGTACGTCTGTGCCAGTCTCCGCCGTCGGGATGTGGGGCTGACCGGCTCTGATCTGTCAGGTTACAGCCGGGACGCTGGAGCTGCGGCCGCTGGGAAGCCGGACCCGGCCGGAGAGCCCGCTTCTGCAGTGGCTCACGCGGCGGGCACGCCGGTGCCGGCGCGGGCAGGCAGCCTTGCCCCTCACCAGCTGCCACCGGAAGCCGGTGGGCATGGGCAGTGCAGCCCCAGCCACGGGCCCAGCAAGCCCCAAGAGCAGCAGTGACAGGAGTCTGTCCCCAGGGCCATCACAGCGAGACACAGGGCCAGACGCGAAGCTAAGCTCTTGGCAGTAATCGGAGAGGAGGGACGAGACATGTCCATACGGGGGCGTGACCCTCGTCCTGCAATTTCATGCCCAGCAAAAATAATCTGTTAAGAGGGAAGTAAGGACGCCCGGGTGGCCCAGTGGGTTAAGCGCGGGGACGTTCTGAGCCCGTGGGACCGAGACCTCCCACGAACAGCCTCCCATCTGCTCCTGGCGTGCTTTGGTGCCAAACTCTGCCTTTGGAGTGAGAGTGGGTGGAGCCCCTGCACGAGCCGCAGGGTGACCCAGGAGACGGAGTCGTGCTGCAGAAAGCACGAGCGCAGCGTGTGTGGAGTGTGGCTTCCTTTATGTAGAGCCCAAAGACACACGTGTCACTGCACCGTAAAGATTGAATGAATAAGGACTTTCGTTTTGAAATTTTATTTGGAAAAGAAACCGTGCAACGATTTAGAAAGATAAGAGCAGGTCTTGCTTGTCAGTTCTAAGCTCCAGCGACTGACTACGGCACCAGGCGCCTGGGGCCTCTGTCATTAAGCCTCTGCCTTCAGCTCAGGTCGTGGTCCTGGGGTCCTGGGATTGAGCCCTGCGTCGGGCTCCCTGCTCGGTGGGGAGCCTGCTTCTCCCTCTCCCTCCGCCACGCTCCCTGCTTGTGCTCTCTCTCTCACTCTTTCTCTCTCAAATAAGTAAAATCTTAAAATAAAATAGAACCGTATGGCATTGGGAGAGACAGACACGGGCAAGACATCCACAGTCCAGGGCAAATAGTTGGAAAACTAGTCCCTGTGTGAGTCTGGGGCTTATGGGACAGCGGGGGACAGACTTCTCCAGGAACGGGGCGGTGGCTGGCTGCCCATTCCAAAGATCAAACACAGCAGTCGTGAAAACCAAACCACAGTCGGACCAGGACAACGCGACGGCGGCGTTGGAAGCTCGGGGGGCAGGTGGGGAGGTTCCTACCGGGGGCCCCACACTAAATCCATGCTGGGAAATCCTACACGTCGGACAAAGTCTTTAAAGGTTAGTGCAAAGACACAAAAATCTGAGGAGACGGTCTGGAAGAAACCGCTCGTTCCGCGCGCAACGTTCGAACGTGGACCAACTGGATCCTACGGAGAGACGCTTTCGGGCCCTGGGAAGGTGGTTTTCAGCGTGGAGCAGAAGGCGTGTGAGCGATGGACTCAGTTCTCGGAGGAAGCGGGCGATGCTCGGCAGGAGGGGGCGGCTGTGGGATGGGGCGCGCTGGGCCCGCGAGGCCTCCGGTCCTGTGGTGTCGTCTGTTGTCTTTTTTTTTTTTTTTTTTTTTCATTTAACCTCATTAATCCTTCCTCCTCCTGCCTCTAACTTTTGGTGAAGTTACTTTGTTGCTCTCTTCCTTGCTGCTTGAATTGCTTGCTTTACCCATCCTGGGGCTTTTTCCTAATTTTCCAGCATTTGGGGTCCTGTCCACGGGACGGCGGCAGCCGGTGCGCCCTGCACCCTTGCTCGTGTCTGTGGGAGCCGGCTTGCGGCCTCTCTTCCCCTTTCACTCGGGGCGGATTAGGGGTGCTTTGGAAGGTCCGCCCCAATATGGTTCTGCTGTTAATTTTTAATTGCATTGTCTTGTGGCCGCCCGATGCGACCCGGACGAGTCCTGTGCTGGCACGTCTGTTTGTTGGCCTAAAGCGCGGCTGACATGTGCGATGTTCCTTCCCTTTGTTTGCGGGCAGCGCGGTTGCCTGCGGCCGGCAGTGCATCCTCGTCCAGGTCTGTCAGATCACGCTGCCTCACCACTTCAGACTCTGTTTTTAAAAATTTGGGCTATTTTTTTTTAAGATTTTATTTATTTGTTTGACAGAGATCACAAGTAGGCAGAGAGGCAGGCAGAGAGAGAGGAGGAAGCAGGCTCCCCGCTGAGCAGAGAGCCGGATGTGGGGCTCGATCCCAGGACCCTGAGATCATGACCTGAGCCGAAGGCAGAGGCTTTAACCCGCTGAGCCACCCAGGCGCCCCCAAAATTTGGGCTATTTTTTTAACACATGTGCTTGTGTAACTTAGGACGACAGCCCTGCCCTAGCTCTTGGGGGTCACAAGGGGCACAGCCCGGTACCCACAGCTTCCAGCTCTTGTGGCCATTCCCACCACGAACTGGGATTCTGGGATTCGGGGCCTGTCCTCACCGTGCACCCTCTCGGGGACCCCCGCCTCACCCGGAGCTGCTGCGTCGCTGGTGACAAAGCCCCACGCTGAACCCACAGCTCAGTCCACCTCAGAGCCCCAGGCATGTGGACAACTGCCTGTGGCTGCTCCAGGGCCCTGCAGGCCACGCTTGGGGAGCCCAGAGGCCAGCTCTGTTCCCAGGGAAGGCTGCCCCCCAAGGCCTCTCATCTGGAGTGCCCCTGCTGGCCTCCCCTCTGCAGGACCCCAGCTCCTGGACCCTCGTCTCCGTCCTTGCTGGTTTACTACATTTTGGTGGAGGGCCTTGGAAGGAGGGCCCTGGAGATGTCTGAGCTCCAGACTGTGGAGCTGCTTAGACGTCCTCATTCTGCCTCCGCACTCGCGTGGTGCTTTCGTGGGTGTAAACTCTCGGTGGAAAATCCCGTTCTTCCAGGACGTGGATTACTCTATCGCCCCTAACCCTTGCTTTTTCTGCGTGATGCCCGCGACCGTGTGGCCTCAGGTCCTCGGCATGTGCCCCACGTCAGTCTCTGCGGGTCCCTGCAGCTCCCACACGCCCCCGTCTGCTTCCTCCCATAGTCTGCCGCTGCACCCCCTTGTCTCTAGGAAGTGCGTGTGCGCGTTCATTTCCTCGACTCTCTCTCCCGAAATCTGACTGCCTGGATGCTGACCTACGCAGCTGAAGTCTCCAGGTTTCTTCTGGTTCCTGCTCACCGTGTCTTTGTTTCTGGCGTTCGGCCAGTCCTTGCCTTCGCGATCAGCGTTTGCTGTAATGACCGGCTCTGTGACGACTTCCTTGAGCCGCCGTTTGCTCCCGCTCGCCCTCCGTCAGGGGCCTGAGGTCAGCAGGATCTCCGTGTCCACCTCTTGCCGCGCTGTCTCAGAGGTCCTCCAGGGATGCCGCAGCCGTGGCAGATGGCGGAGACCTGAGAGGCGGGTTTGGGGCAGGGGCTCTGCTCCCAGTCACCCTGCTCTGTGGGGAGTGGGTAGAGTTTGGTGGGCGATGCTGCGGGGCTACCGCCGGACCGAGGGGGGGCCCCACGCCACCGGCCACACCTGTGGGGAGCTTTCCGTGTGGACCCAGTCACATGTTTAAAGAGCTCTGGCTTGCCGTCTGAGTGGTCCTCTCCCACACCCCCCCTTTTTTCTGTTTTGGGGACATCTGTGTCTAGGAGAACAACAGCTATGGGACGGGGGGGCTCTTTCCTGTCCCCCGAGTCTCTCATCCCAGGCAGAGGCCACACCTGCTCCTGGTCAGTGCAGAAGAGCGGAACGGGGGGCTGGCCTGAGGCTCCACGTGTGGGGGCAGCCTCCTAGTGGTCAGGCACTTGGGCTGTGAGGGGGAGGTTTCTGGGGGCTCTGGCCTGGGCGCCCCACCCTCGGGGTCTGTCAGGCCACTTGTTTTCTCCAGGAAAGAACCTTCCTCTCCTGGGAGGATGGGGGGAATAGCCAGGCCCCATGGATCTTGGTGCAGAGTGGAAAGAGGAGCTAGGGGCTTCACTTTTTTTTTTTTTTTTTTGTGGTTGTTGATGTGCGGGGGGGTGGGTGACGCTTAAACCACAGAAATGTGTTGTCTCAAGGTCTGGAGGCTGCGAGGTCCAGACCCAAGTGCCAGCAGCGCTGCTTCCTTCTCCGGCCTTCTTCCTCGGCTTGTGGCTGGCCCAGGTCTCTTTGTGCCCTCACGTTCCCTTCCGTGGGGGTCTCTGGGCCCTAATGTCCACTTTGGGAGGTTTGCTTCTTATTTTTAAGTATATGGCTTAGCGGCACTGAGTATGTTCACGTTGTCGGAACCCGATCTCCAGGACTTCTGCTCCGCGACTCTGATGCTGTCCCCGTCTACCTCGGGGGGCGGCTCCCCAGCCCTGTTGCCCCATCTACTTCCCGTTGCTGTGGATCTGACTCCTCTGGGGACACCCAGAGTGGAATCACACAGGGTTTCTCCTCCGGTGACCTGCCCGTGTCAGTCGGCGTAGTGTCTTCAGGGCTCAGCCACGTTTCTTCCTTTTTAAGGCTGAATCATGGTCCGCGGCCAGCACCTGCCCATCTAGGGAACGCAGGCACCCAGCAACGGCCGTCTGGGTTTTCACACAGCCTTTGGTCTGTTGTGGGCCGTGCTGCTGTGACCTGGACGTGCGGTGTCTCTGTGAGGCCTGCTGCCGGTTCCTGCGGGTACACACCCACAGGGCCCACCGGGGATTCTCGTTTTAATTCTTTGAGGAATGGGGACTTCACTCTGCACTTGTCTCAGTTCTCTGTCCTTAGCTCCCTGCGGCGCTGCAGATGGTGACCAGCTGTCCCACCCCCCGCCCAAGGAGGAAGCGGGGGGCGTCCCCAGGCCTGGCCAGAGTCTGGGAGGGTCTGTGGCATACAGCCCACCTGGGAAGTTCTGCCGGGGGCGGGGTGGGGGGGGGACAGTGCTGCGGGGCTGCGGCTTCTGGTCTTTCCCGGTCACTGACGCCGTCCCAGCCTCCTGCCTTGTGCTGAGCCTCCACACTGGCCCCTGGCCACCTCTCCACCGGTCCTCACGGTTCCTGCGGCTTTTTCTTGACTTAGGGGGGCTCAAGGAGGAGCCCCTTCCACCCCATCCCTCCTGAGGCTCTCACAGGCCAGCTTGGAGGACCGCTACTGCCTGCCACCTCCTGGCCTAGTGGGAAGGGCCGCGGCCGCCGCTCTGAGGACCTCCCTGTCTGGGGACGACCCTCGCGCAGAAAAGCAGCCAGCGGTGGGGCCGAGCGCCGGGGCGGGAGCCGCTGCAGGCCGAGCTGGATCCTGGGGACGAGCGGGCGGGCTACTCCCTGTGCGGTGCTGGGGTCGGCGGGCGTGGGAGCCAGGAGCACAGGTGTGGCTGGTGCCAACCGCGCCCCTGTTCGCGCAGGTGTGCGAGCCCCCCGAGAGCAGGCCCGCGAGCCGCCGCTGGAGCGTCAGCATCGAGGAGCGCCGGCAGCTGGCCACGCAGGACGGCAGGGAGGAGCCGGGCACCGGCGGGCCTGACCCCCACTACAGGGTGTGCAGTGGGGGGGCGGGGGGCACGGCGACACGCTGGCCCTGCCTGGACCCGCCCCCTGACCCCGCGGTTGCCCCCAGGACATTGCGCAGCTCGTTGCCCAGCTGGTGTCCGAGGACGTGGACAAGGACGTGCTCCTGCCCCACCCACTGAGGTCCTCTGAGTCCGCCCACGCCTTCCATGCCTTCCTGGCCCGGAGCTCGCCTTTCTGGCAGACCGCGACTTCGAAGGCGCAGGTCTTGAGGTCACTGCCCTCCTAAGAGACGACTCAGCCCAGTGTCTGTGTTCCAGCGCCTTTCCTGGGGGCCAGGGGTAGGCGGCGGCGGCCTCTTCACCTCCCGCGGGAGCTCGTGAGCCCAGGGATGAGAGAACCCAGGCCCAGGAGGACCCCGTGACTGCCCCTTCCTTAGAACACGCAGCCCTGAGGCCTTGGAGGCCACCTTCGGGGGGGTGCCCTGCCCCAGCCCAGCCTCCAGGAGGCTCCCTGAAGGGGTCTGGGGGACAGGGCGGGGGTGGCGGGTGATTCCGGAAGAGCCCTCTGCTGCCTAGAGAGGCCTGGCCTGCTCCCTCCTGGAGTCAAGCAGCTGTGAATGGCCTACAAGGGGGAGGAGGGCGTGATGGCTCACGGGCCCCTACAGAGCCCAGTTCATGAGCAACTCCCTTGCTGGCCCTCCAGGAGGGTGGGGAGTTTGAGGCCATCAGCTGCTGGGCACGAATGCTCACCCAGCTGGGGGACACCAGGTCTCATGCTGGGCCCTGCCTGCGGTAGGTCCAAAGGGGCCCGCGTAACTCGGGGAGCAGAAGCCAGGGGGTGCTGAGCACAGGGAGGCTTCCTGAAGGAGGGGTGCCTCCCCACCTCCGCACAGTGGTTGGCGGGCAGAGGGCATGGGAAGCTGTGAAGAGCGGGCCCTGGGCCCATCCCAGCATCTGCTTTTGGGGGTTGAGGGGTGGGCGGAGGGTTCTGAGCCCCGGGTGATGTGGGGGAGTACACTGGCGGAGCTGGAGCTGGAGGGGGACTGGAAGCGGGAGGAGGGAAGGCGGGAGTGATGGCAGGCTCCCAGCCCTCCAGGGCCATGGAAGGACAGCAGCAGGGGGTGGGAGCCGTCCCTGGGACTTGGCCACTGACTCTCAGAGGCTGACGGGCTTCTGTGTGGGGACAGCTGGGTGGCGGGGACTTCAGGCTAGATGAGGTGAGGAACCCCAGGTCTGGGGTGCGGGCAGGAACTAGGCCTGCAGACACTGGCCTCCCTGGGTCCCGGAACCTGTGGCCTGTGTCCTGAGGGGCAGGCTGAGGTTGAGGCCTGGGGGACAATATGACCCCCTTCTCCCCTCTTTGGGGATCTCTGATGATGAACTACGGGGTGGGCGTCATGGGCCAGGCTCCAAGCTGGGCAGGAAGGAACCCCCCCGCCCCCACCCAGCAGTGCTCCCGGTGCAGAACGGGAGCTGAAGTGCCAGCAGTTAGGTAGAGGTGACAAGGGCTTGGCTTGGAGTTCTTTATCACGGAGCGGGGATCCGGAGGGTCATGGGCTGACCTGCCGGTCCTGGTCTGCCTTGGGGCGGCTCATGAGGCTGCAGGCAGATGGTGGTGAGTCCAGGATGCCCCGACGGCCGGCCCTCTGCCTTCCACATGGTCTCGGCACCTCTGCTGGGCGGGGAGCCTGCTGCCCGGGGCCCGGCACTCCCACTCCCGCAGCAGAGCAGAGGGGCCTTGGGGGGGGGGGGCGAGACCCCAGCCGCGCAGCGTCTTCAGCTGCCTCCTGCGTGGTTACCATGGTTACTAAGGCCTCAGGACCCTCCCAGTGACCCCGTCCGGTAGAGCGTGGTGCCCAGGACAGGGGCCACTCACCACCGGGGGGTGGATTTGCTGTCACCCAGAGCTCTGGTTTCTACTGCTGCCCCAGCAGAGCACCGCCGCAGACGACCTGACCTCACGTTCCCTGGCTGGGGCTCCGCAGAGATCCCAAATGGGCCTCACCAGCCTAGGATCAGGCTGTGCTCACGGCGGCCAGCCTTTCTGGAGAAACCGTTCCTGGCCTTTTCCAGCTTCTGGAAGCTGCCTGCTAGCCTTGGCATGTGGCCCCTTCCTCTGCCTTCAAGGGCGGCCGCGTGGCCCCTGTGGGCCCCATGCCCCATCTTCTCTGGGGCCTCTGCCTCTTCTGTCGGCCCCCAGCGCTGCGGGCCGCTGCTCCACCCTCATGGCTAAGCCGTCCCAGGCCCCACGGGCACATTCACAGCTTTGGGGTGAAGATGTGGAATCTTCTTGGGGGTGCTGTACCTTCCCCGGGGCCCAGCACCGACTGGGTAGAACTGGGGGTGCTGCGTCCCATCCCACAGAACATGGGACTGCCCCCCCCAGCAACCAAGGACGGTCAGCCCCAACTGGGAATAGCACCTGCGCGGAGCCCCTGGGACAGAAGAGGGTCCCCCAGCATCACAGAGGGAGTCAGCAGGACGAGCAGTCAGTCTAAAGCCAGCAGCAGTCAACGGGGACGTCTGCTGGGCCACCCCCACCTATGTCCCTTCTTTGTTTTTATTTTTTAAGATTGCATTTATTTTGAGAGTGCAAGTTGGGGGAGGGGCGGAAGGAGAGGGGGAGAATCCCAAGCAGAGTCCCTGCTGAGCACAGCACGCACGCCTCCACAACCCCGAGTTCGTGACCTGAGCTGAAACAAAGCGTGAGACGCTTCAGGGCGTCTGGGGGGCCCAGTCATCGGGTGTCTGCCTTTGGTTCAGGTCGTGATCCCAGGTCCTGCCTGCTCTCCCTCTCCCCCTGCTTGTATTCCCTCTCTCACTGTGTCTCTCGCTGTCAAATAAATAAATCAAATCTTAAAGAAAGAAGAGATGCTTTACCGACGGTTCCCCCAGGCGCTGCCCTCTGCCCCCGGTGTCCATTCTTCACTGCCCGTGCCCTTCCAGCCAGGTGGGTCTCTCCTCATGCTCCAGGAGGAACAACACCCCCCCCATCACAGAGACATCCCCATGTGGGGGGCCATGTGGGGATACCTCTGAGGAGGGAGGCCCTTCGGGGACATCCCTGGGGGGGGCATTGGAGTGCTCTGGCGGCAAGGTGGACAGTGTCCCACCGGCAGGCTTGCCCCGGCTGGCCGCGCGAGTCCCTTGCGTCCTTTCACCTGTCTGTGCTCACGAGGGAGGTCAGCTCGGAGCAGGCAGCACAGGCGGCCGTAGACACCCCAAGGAGGAAAGCAGGTGTGCGCTGGGGCTGTTGTTTGTGTCCTCCCGAGGGCCAGCACCGCCCCTGCTGAAAAGAAGGACTTCGTGGGCTCTGCGAGAACGCGCTCACTATTCAACAGTAAAGTTTTAAAAATCTCACCCACAATCGCACCAAGATCAGGCTGTGGACGCGCGGCGAAGGCTACCAGGTACCTCCAGAGACCCAGGCAGCGAGGAGAGAGTGTGTGGAAACACAGCAAGCGCACAGCCCCTCCCTGCAAACCTAAGAAACTTTAATTTTAAGGGAAAACAGGATTGCTGAATTAATGACTGCGTCTTCCCCCCAAATTTAAAAGCTTCTCCTAAGATTATTTTTAGAAATTGCAAAAGTCAAGAGACGGCGTCACGTGGCTTTGGCAGTGCCCTCCCCTCACAGCGCGGGCTGACGCGGCTCACAGCGGAGGAGCTGGCGCTGGGCTCCCCGCCCCCGCCCGCCGGGACCGTCATTCCAGCTCGGGGCGGGCACAGGCCTCGGGCCTGCACAGACCCCCACCCCCCCGCCGGGACCCCGCAGGCGGCGGTGAGCTCGCTGGCCCCACGTGGCCGCTCAGTCTTCGCTTTGGTTACACCCTTACTGGCAGCCCGTGAGCTCAGCCCTTGGTGGCCGGAAGAGCTGCGTTTCTGGGGCTCCTCGTGGTGCTCACAGGTCTCCCCACAAAAGCGGTGGGGACCCTGCTTTCTCAGCCGGGGTGGCTGGCCTTCCCTCGGAGCCCGGTGTCCGTGCCCCGCGGCTGCAGGAGCTCGGGCCCAGCTGCCACTCTGTCCTGCATGTGACCTGCTTTCCGAAAGCTGGTCCCAGGGACCCCTGAAGTCCAGTGACTCAGGCGGGATGGGCCTCCACGCGGACGCCGCTCTGTCTGGATTTCTGGAGCGTGCAGGCCCCTCGTCACCCGGCCTTTCCTGTAGATCTCCGAGTGCTCTCTGCAGTGCTCTGCCTCTGCTCGTCTCCGCCCTCACCGTGCTGCCGCCCGGGGGGTGCCCCAAAGCCCCCCAGTGCACGCCTGTCCCTCCGAGGGGCCTCCTCCTCCACCAGCGTCCTGGCCCCTCTCCACAGCTGTGCCCCTCACCGTGACTCCTCTGTCCCCTTCCCTGTGTCCTTTGTGGCCTGCATTACTCACAGCTCTAGCCGTCACCCGCTAGCCTGTGCGTCCCCTGGGGGCAGAGACCTTGTCCCCCAGCCCTGCCCGCCAGGTGCGTCACAAGTCAGGATTGAGTAAGTTATTGTTTTAGCTGCTTTGTCTCGTCCCCCAAGTATCTCCAGCCTTTCCTGCACCCGTAATCCCACATTCTGCCCCTCGCTGCTCGGGGCTGATTCCAGCAGCGGTTTCACACGTTAACGCTTGCTCCCATCCTGCTCTTTGGTCACCCAGTACTGGGGCTTCCGATGACGGACGGCAAGTGCAGCCCAGGTTCCCGCGGCCTCCCGCACTCCTGCGGCTTCTGGTGGCTTCTCCCCGGGGTTTCCAGCTGGCCCTCGCCCCCGCCCTCCTTCCCTCCTTCCCTCCTCCAGTTTCTCTGTTGCTAGATGAGTGGAGGTGGCCACCAGGCCTTCGTTCCTGCTCTGGTGCCAGGAGCCATCTCCGGAGCATCTTTCCGCGAGGTTGTAAGTGGGCGGGTTCACAGTCTCTTTTGCAGCTCACCTGAGATCTGCCGCCTGCCTGGGAGCAGGGCAGGGCACTGTGGGCAATGTCCCTTCTCCTTGTTAGTCTGGAAGGGGCAGAAGGCAGGCCCCAGCTGGAGCAGCTATGTGCTGTGGGGTCCCAGGCCTCAGTAAATGTCACTCGGCTTCGGGAGGGCCATATCCCTATCCTTCGTGGGGAAGCCCAGGGCCTGGATGTCTTCCCTGAGACCCTGGACCCCCTCGGCCGGGCCGCCCACCCCATGCTGTGCTTGTCCTCCGTCCCGGTCGCAGGGAGGAAGTCAGCCTCCACCTCTCGGTCAGCCGCCCTCCCCGGCTGGGCCAGTGCCACACTTCTCAGGACGGAGCCCGTCCTGTTTCTGGGATGGAGGCAGAAGCAGGCCCTTCCAAGGGAGGAAGTTTCAGGCTCTCTCCACGCCCAAAGGCTGCCTGGGTATTTTTTGGTAGTTCTAATTTTCTGGTCAGCTTGTCGAGTATTGGAAGGTTCTGTGGTGCAGCGTCACTGTCCAGGTGAGGGGTTCAAGGTTCAGGCCAGGGCATTAGGAAGGGGGCCTATGGGGAGGGAGGGACACCCCTCCCCCACCCGGCAGCCATCCACCAGGGCTCCCTGGGCTGGGCTTGCTGAGAGATCAGGCCGCGCACCGCAGAGCATCTCCTTTCCTGGAGCCCGGGGCAGGTTCCGCTTGCAGCTCATTGCCCTCCTCAGAACCCCTGGCTTTTACCCCAGCACCTGCTCTGGGCTCTGCTCTGGGGACCTCCGGGTCTGTCCCTAGGGGCCTCCCCCAGTAGTTGGGGGGCCCCACCCCTTGAATGTTTCCCTCCAAGCCCCACAGGGGTGTCCCTCAGCATCATCTCCCTCCAGCCACAGGCCTGCCCCCTGGGAGTAAAGGGCATTAACCCACGGTAGTGCTCAGACCAGCTACCTGGGGGCCCAAACACGACATTTCTCTTGGCCCCCAGCAGTGAGGTCAGTCCTGGCTACAAACTCCTGCTGGGACCTGCTTCTCTCCTCCTGGGATTCCACCCTCTACCTCATGCTCCTCCCTACTGGGCCACCGGTCTTGCCCGTTCCACGTGGTCACCGCATTTTCCAGTCCTTGCACCTGAAGCAACATGCGTGTACACACGCGCAGGCACACAGAGGCACGTGCACACATGCCCGCGCGCACACAGATGCGCGTGCACGCGCAGACACATGCCCGCGCGCACAGATGCGCGTGCACGCGCAGACACATGCCCGCGCGCACAGATGCGTGCACACGCACACGCACGCAGAAACGTGTGCACACACACATGCGTGCACACGCACACACACACTCAGTGATCCTGACGGGTGTGTTGGGTATGTTACAGCCCTTCCAGCCTCCCCATTCCTGGAGTATGTCGCCTTCCTCCTCCCGAACCTCATGGGTCTCTGACGGCTTTCCAGAGGGCGTCCTCTGGGAGTGGCAGCGCTCGCCTCTGGCTTTTTCATCAGGCCACAGTTCAGGGAGGCCGCACTAGCTGGGGTGGGGAAGGAGCCCCCACGGAGGTGGCTGGAGGCACCACCACTATCCAAGCATGGCTGGGGGTTGGGGGCTGGGCAGTGAGGGCAGGGGACAAAGACCGCTGGGGAGAGTGGACAGACCCAGGCCCTGAAGGGAGGTGTGCGGCGCGGCCCTGTGGTCAAGGCTGGGCTGCTGAGCTTCAGGCCAGTGGGGGACTTGGAGAACCTCCGTCCCCAGGGAAGGGAGAGTGGGACCGAGGGGGCGGGAGGCCCTGGGAAGGCCTCTGGACCAGCGTGGAGGGGGTGTGAGAACCCCTGCGGGAAGGGGCAGCAGGGATGCTGGCAGGACCCAGGTGTGGAGGCACCGGGAGGGCCCACCTGGGGAGAGGGGGCGCGGGTGAGGCTGAGGACCCTTCCGGGAAGAGGGCGCGGGGGACGCCAGGAGGCCCCAGGCACAGGGAAGCCCTTGCTAGGGGGGTTTGGGGGGATGGGAGGACCCACCCAGGAAGGGGCGCGCGGGGAGGGCTCACCCTGGCAGGCGCGCGCGGACGCGCGGGGAGGGCCCGGCGGGGGCTCCGGGAAGGAAGCGCCCGGGGGAGCGCGCAGGGCCGGGCACGCGGAGGGCCCCCCCCACCCCCACCCCCACCCCCGGCAGGGGCGCGCGGAGGCGCGGGGAGGGCCGGCCGGGTAACGGCCGCGCGGTGGGCGGCGGCGCCCGAGGCCCCTCCCCTGCCCGCGGCCGCTCCTCCTCTTCCTCTCCCGCCCGCGCCGCGGCCCTCGGTCCCTGCGCGGCCTCGGCGGCCTCGGCGGCGGCGGCGGCGGCGGCCCCTTTAAACCGCCCGCCCCCCGCCCGCGCCCGCGCCCCGCGCCCCGCGCCTCCGCCTC